CCCCACCCCCCAACCAGGAGCCCTTTCCCGGCTCCTTCCCTCAGCACTTCAAACTTCACTGCAACAGATTTGCTAGCCAGCCAAGCGGACATCTCCTTTCCCAAGGCTTTCTCAGCACGGTCCACCCTGTCCACGGCTCTGGGCCACATCTCTAGTTTCGCAGCTAACACAGTTGGTAGGCTTTGCGATTCTGACTTTGGTTTGTTTCAATGCTTCACAAAATTTGAAGGTAAGGGTCAAAATTCTAACAAAGCCTCTGAGGTTATCTTTAAAAGACCCAATTGCTTCCTTGGAGATTGTATAAGCTAATGAATGAGTAAATTTATCAATTTACCCCTGTGATCAACAAAATGCCCAGCAACACCCCCCTCCCTGCGCCTTGGAGCAGAAGCGCCCCCTGTGGCCATGGGTGTGGGCAGGCACCAGAGCAAGGCTTGCTTCCCTGACTGGGAGGGAAACCCACAGGACGACAGAGTGACTGGTAACCAGCTGGGCATTCCTGGACTGTTAGTTACAAAGACGGTTAAGCGATACATGTTCCTCTCTAGGGGGAATCATGCAAACACCCAAGGGGCTGGGGACAGAGACAGCTTGCTTTAGTGAACACCCCCCTCAGTGTACAGCTTTTCTGTTCTCATGTCTGCCAACTGGCAGGCCGATATCTGTAGAATGGGCCTCCGCTGTGCCGGGAGGAGGGAGTCTTCTCATTCTGGAGGAGGCCCTGTGGGACGCGGAACCGAAGCACATGCGAACACAGCCTGGGACACAGCCGGGGGCTCTTTGAGGAGGAAGCCTAGGATAGGGGCTCAGGCCACTGCCAGGGTGTGCGAGAACTTACCCTGACGCAGCTTACATTTGAGTTTAGTACCACAGGGCTCATCCCACATGCTTTGACCCTGCGGCTCCATTCATGGCTGGCTCAGAGAAAGAGCAAGTCCCTGCCTGTCCGGTCAAACTGGCTATCATGGCGGCGGGGGGTGGGTGGGAGGTTAATTACTGAACTTTTCTCCCAGAGCTGGAGGTGTGTGTAGCTGGGAAGCAACCCGGCAGTTTGCTGAACAGCGTGTTACTGCTGGGTATGGCAGTGGCAATGGTGCAGAAACTGTCTGTGAATCAGGATCTTGTAAGCGCTAGGGAGAATGGTAACCACGGCCTGGCCTGCGGGCGCCCAGGCGGGGTGAGGCACCATCTCCCTGAAGAGGGCGGGAGAGGGAGTGCACTGTTGAGTCTCAGGTACGAAAAGACCTTGTGCGAACAGTGCCAGGACAGCCGGGTGCCCACTCAGAAAGAGCCCCCGGATCTTATCGCTTGGTTTGGCACGATTCTGCCCTCCCAACAGCTCCCATGCATGTGGGTGTCTGGGGGCAATGAGATGGTGAGAGGCCCTACATCCCATGTGGCCCAATCCCCTGAGGGCCCAGGAGGGCCATTCCTGAGTGCCCGGGCCAAAGATGCTATGTGAGAGGAGGCCAGTCTCCAGGACGGGGCTTTTCCTGGCTCCTGAAGTGGAAGAAAGGCAGCTTTAAGCTGTGCTGGGTGCTCTCTTCTCCTTGGGCAGAGTCCCTGAATTTAGCTTCCGCATGGCGCTGTGATGGTGAGTGGCCTTTCAGACCAGTGAGCAGAATCAGGAAAGGGCCTCTGCGGGAGCCCCTGGCCACGTCTCCCTGGTCCTTTGCTGGCTCTGTCCCTGTGGGCTTGAGGGTCCCCCTTGGGCCTGTGTTTTAGCTGGAGTTTTGGGGGAGGTGGGCAGGATGAGGCAGGGGACCTGGAAGGGGACTTGCAGGGACTGCTCTGAGGGCCCAGCTCTGCCATGGGAAAGAACAGCAAAGTCCCCCTAGGCAGAAGGAAAGGTACCCGTGAGTGGGTGAGAAGCAGTGAGGAAGACTGATGGGTTGGGTTTTGATTTCTGCCTCTCTCCTCTCCCTCTGGGTGATGGGCAACAGGAGGCCGGGCCACTGGCCCAGGCAAGCCTGGAGCTCCTGCTGAGGTCAGTGGGGAGCAGAGGCAGCAAACAGAACTTCAACACAGTTCTGTCTGGATAGGAATCAGCACCAAGGAGCCCCACTCAGCTCCCCCGGGTAGCCCCAGGTGCACGGTATACCACGGGGGAAGGAGGGGAGGGCCATCCCGGCCCGGGCTGAGACTGAAGGGCATTATGACCTTCAGATTCTCCAAGTCTCTCTGGTATTTCTGTCGCAGCACGGCCACGCCGTCCTCCAGGCCCTTGTGTTCCAGCTCCTCTCGCACGGCGTCAGTCTTCGCCTCCAGCTCCTGGACACGCCTGTGAAGGCCGGCTGCAGACTCAGCCACCCCTTCGGCCTGACCGGCTGGCCAGCTGGGGCCCCGTGGAGATGGCCTGCTTGCGGGGTCGGGGCGCTGCTGCTGGCACTGGCTGAGGGTTCCCTTCAGGCGCTGCAGGTTCTGGGAGTAGTGCTCCTGCAGTGCCCGCAGCTCCTCTGCGTGGATGCCCTGCAGTTCTTCCATCTTGCGCTGGAACCTGGCCTCCAGGCTCTGCATCTGCTCCACGTGGCTTTGCTCGAGGTCCTGCCGGTGGTTGGCGGAGGCGGCCTGCAGGGTGGGCTCTGCTGGGCCCAGCTGCTCCACTACGCCCAGCAGCTCCTCCTCCGGCCGTCCCTCCATGGCCTCCAGACAGAGCTGCTGGTGGCCTAGTTGGGTGACCCTCGCGGTGAGCTCTGCATTTTCCCTCTCAATGATGGTAATCACTTCCAGGTATTCGCTCTTCTGTTTCCTGAGAAGCTCCCTGTACTCTTCTCTCAGGGCCCCGAGAGCTTGCAAGTGCTCCTGGCAGGGGGAGGCGCGGCTCTGCCACGAATCCTTGTACGACTGGAGCTCCCTCTCATACTCCAGCCTAATTTTGCAGGCTGCATAACACACCTGAGCCTGGACAATGGCATCCTGCACCAATAATGACGAGTACTGGCCCAGGCCTCCCACACAAGCGCTGTAGGAGAGGGCCTGGGAGGCCCGGAGGAGCTGCTGGCAGCTGCTGAGCGACTCCACTGGTGGGAGGCAGGTAAGAGCAGTCGCTATCTCCCCCAGGATGTGGGCCTTGGCTTTAAGCTGCTGGGCAAGTTCTTCCTGCACGGCCACCAGGGTGCCAGGGCCCTGGCGGAGCACCTGACAGGGCTCTGGGGAGCCTCTGGGGTCTCCACTCAGCATTTCCCCCATGGGGCTCAAGTTCCAGGGCTGCAGAATGCCTTCACCAGCACCTGCTTCAAGTCCAAGGGCTTCTGACGCCTGCTGCATCACTCTGTCAAAATCTGGGGTGCGGTAGGCACCCAGGATCTCATGTAGCGTGTACCTGAGCCGATGCAGGGCCGCCGTGGCACTGTGCAGGTTTTCCTGGACACTGCTCAGCCTGTGGTGAAATGATTCCCTCACAGACTGGGCGGCAAAGCTCAGCTCTGCCCTGACAAGGGTGGCATCTGCCACGGTGGGGCCAAGGGCAGGCAGGAGGCCCTGCCTCCACCCCCGGTCATTGGCATAGCCCACCTCACATCCTAATGTCCCCAGGTGCTGGCTCAGCGATTCCACCTGGCCCCAGAATTCCCCTTCCACCAGCAGCTTCTTGGCTAGGCTATCTGCTAATGGCCCAGGACAAGCTGTTGTGCGTTCGGACTCCAGGGGCAGCCCTTCGGACTGAGAGATCTCTTGGAGGACACAGGAGATGTCCGAGGTGGTATTTCTCAAAGAGTCTGCAATCTGATTTATCAGCGAGGCTTCCAGAGTGATCCGCTCTGAGAGGAGCTTCAGCTGTTCCTGTTCATTCACCTCAGGCAGCCAGGGCTGCCCACCTGGTGGGCGGCTCCCGTCCTCCTGCAGAGCGGGGCCTGGGCTGTCTGTGGGAGCTGGCGGCAACTGCAGGGCCTGGATAGCATCCGCCAGTGTGCTCTCCATGCTGGCCAGCGAGGCGGAGGGGGCGGCGGCGGCGGCACACTCCTCCTGGTTTGTCCTCAGCAGGGCCCTCAGCTGCTCCCGGCAGTCCTCTAAACAGGTCAGGGCCCGGCTGTTTGTCACCCGGAAGCTCCCGAGCTCCCTAGCATGGCTCTCTGTGCATGCAGCCCTCCCTTGCCTCTCCTGCTCCAGTTGGGAAGCCAGGGCACCGGCCTGGGCAAGGCTGGCCCGGAGCTGCTCTCGGAGCTGGGCCTCAGTGCCAGCCCACTGGTGGTGCAGGGTCATCAGGGCCTCCTGATCGCGGCCCCGCTGGCTCTCCAGCCGGAGAGTCACATCCTTGAGCTTCTCCTCTGTGATGTACAGCTTGGTCTCCAGGGAGTGGATGACAGAGAGGTAGCTGTCTGCGTTGCTGGGCCCAGCGGCAGGCTCAGAAGACATACTCTCCTCCGAGAGCGAGCGGTCCTGGCTGGTGTCAGAGGACGTGCTGCCAGTCCAGGTCTTCTCCGACCCATCGAGGTGGATGTACTTTTGGCACTGGATGGTGGAGAACCGGATTCTTTGCCGTTTACTGCCAGGTGTCCCTGACTCAGGCCTGGGTACATCCCCACCAGCCTCCCCCAGACCAGTCCCCGGGTCCTTGTCCTTCGGCCTCGTGTGTGGGATGTCCAGAGGTGCCCCAGCAACCGGCCCCATCTGGGCAAGGCTGCCACTGTCTGTTCCCAGAGTGGCAGGAAGTTCCTCGGCACTCGGTGAAGACTCATTCACCAGCTTCCTGAGCATCTCCTCCTTTGCCTGCAGCTTCATCTCCGTCTCCTCCAAGCTGCTGCCCAAGGCCACCATCTTCACCAAGGCCTCATTGAGGTCCTGCTCCTTCCTGTCCAGGACTCTCTGGTGCAGCTCCTTGATGCGTCCCAGCTCCTCCTCCCTCTCCCGCAGCAGCGCGTGCATGCGCTGGAGCTGCCCAGACACCTCCCCAAAGGAGTGCTCCAGGTTGAGGTAGTCAGCCTCCTTTCCCTGCAGCTGGGCCTGCAGCGCAGCAACGTCCCCGTCCGACATGGCAACCCGGGCCACCAGCTCTTGGAAGCGCTGTCTGAGGAGGTGGCACTCGTCTTGGAGGCCCTGCACGTGCTCGGCGAGCTCCTGGATGCTGGCCTCCTTCCGCGCCAGCTGCTCCTCCAACTGGTGCACACGCTCACTGCCTTCCAGCGTGGCGCTCAGCTTCTCCTTCTGCAGGAGCTCCACCTGCTGCTCGCGCTCCCGCAGCTGGTCCTCATAGGCACTGGCCCTGTCCTCCACCTCCTTCAGGCTCTTCAGCAGCACCTGCTTCTCCTTTTCGCAGCTCTCCAGCAGCAGCTCGTAGTTTCTCTGCAGCTTCTCCTCCATCAGCCTCTGGGCCTGCTCACTGGCGCCAAGCTGCTGGCTGAGGTCGGCAATGCGCTCCTGAAGCCTCTGTACCTCCCTCTGCCGGTCCCTCTGCAGTGCCTGCTGGGTCTCCAGGTCCCGCAGCTCCTGCATCTTCTCGAGCAGCAGGGCCTCTGCGCTCTTGAGCTTCTGCTCACTGGCCTTGAGCTGCCCGCTCAAGGCGGCCTCGCTGTGCTGCCACTCCTCCAGCTGCTCGTGGACCTTGTCCTTCTCCAGTTTCAGGTCGCTCTTGAGCTTGGCCAGTGCCTGCTCCTTGATGGCCAGCTCAGCAGCAGCATTGCTCAGCCTCGCCTGGAGGCTCTGGGCCTCAGCCTCGTGGTGTCGGATCATGTCCTTGGCCTCCCCATAGCTGCGCTTCAGGGCCTGAATCTGCTGACTGACCAGCTCCTGGCGCTGGCACTGGGCATCCAGTTCGCTTTGGAGATCTTGGTTGACTTTATGGAGCCTCTGCCAGGCGCCGGGCACTTCAGTCTTAAAAAAACCGATGAGACACTAGGTTAGTAACACTCTGGCCTCTTGGTTCTGAGTGTCACACCTCTGGCCAGGATCACCACGGAAAAGTTCCTGGGGTGGGCTTGGCTTTTCTCCTTGGCACCATATGATATGTATATATATTTTTTCTGTTAAATAATCCAACAAATCATCTTAATTTTTTTTGGAAGTGGTTGCTGTCAGGTGAACAGAGAACATGGACAATAACATCTAAGCAGCTCTAACGGAGTAGCTTCTAGGAGAACTAGACCAAACAGAACGGAATGGTGGAGCACACGGATAAGCAAAACGAGGACCTGAGCACATGAGGCGGTGGGGAGGACGACACGAGGGGAGAAGCGGAGAACCTGCATCTGTTTGTTTGTTTTGCAAAACAAAAGTACCCAGTTCTAGACAACCAGTCCTTGAGAAGTGCAGGGTGCCAGGTGCAGGCGCGTGGGGCCACTTCCTTCCACGGTGGAGGAGAAGGAAGGAAGGTGACTGCTGGGAGATGTCAGTGTGATGACACCGGAACATTTCCCTTGGGAAGTGTCCAATCCTACCGTAACAGGAAGATTTAATCTCTACCTGTAACAAGACAAATGTGAGGGGAGCAAGGGGAGGACCAGGAACCATGGAGTAAAATATAATAATCAACAAAACAAACAAACCTTGGTGGAATTCAAAATAAGAAAGTGAAACATGCGAAAAACAAAACAAAACAAACAAAAAACCCCAAATGAAATAGAACACCCCAAACAGAAAGGCATGCAGAGTGGACAGAACTACTATAACCGAGGTGGGGATGGGGGAACAAAAACATGGACACGGATGCGAGGAACAGCTCAGTCTAAGAACCTGACCTGCCTTGTGGCGGGCGGTTTGCTGGCAGGGAAGCCACAGATGTGACACTCAGTTACAATGCGTTCCACTCCATACTCAATATCCCACCCATGCAAGCCCAAGGCCCCCCGCACCACCTCCCCGCACAGGTCAGTGCTGTGCCCACCCTGTGCACAGGACTCCTCCTGGCAGCTGGCTTTTGGTCATAAGCATTGCCAAAGCTCAGAGGGTGGTCACACCCGACCAGGTGCACAGCTTCCTGGGCCATGATGCAGACCAGTTTCCTGGTCAGGCTTCAGTGTGGGTTCAGGTCCTTGACCAAGCAGCCCCTCACACTAGCAATGTGCAATGCCTGCTGCTACCCTCCCACCACTCGGCAAGAGGGCATTGGGCATGGCAATAGGTCACAGGGGGTTCAAGGGACAAGGGTCTAGGGCCAGAACCAAAGCTGGGGCAGAAAGAAATGGGAGAACCAATTGAAGACGAAGGAAAAACATCACGGAAAGGAAAGAGTGGGGAGAAGGCGCAAGGGCTGACTCTGTACCCAGGGAGGCTGAGAGCCAGCTGTCCCACTTTGGACTGAGGAGGGCAGGCCCCTGTCAGCCAGCAACCCTGACCACTGGGCTGTGCTGACCTAGGCAGGAGGCTGGCCTCTGGGGGAGGGCATGTACTCACCTCTTCTGCTTAGTGGCAGGGCTAGCATTTGAACTTCGAATTCTGGATCAAGTCATGTGCTTTTCCTGAGAATCTGAGTTGTCTGGCATGTAACCAGGTCTGTATCCTCCCAGTATCTGCTTCTGCTGCCTCTGATCTTTCCTCTCCACCCATTTCTCGCTGGCCTCTGCCTATTATCAGCAACACTCAGGCAACAGGAGCTCTGCTCCCACTGTTGCTGGCACATGGAGTGCCTGAAGCCCTGTCGGACAGGTGACCCCGCTAGTGCCACGGCACTAGGACCCTCGGTGTACTTCTCTGGGCTGAGCGGCTGGAAGTCTTACTAGAAAGGCAGGCTGGAGTGGGGACCTGGGGCTTCCCAGGGCTGGGCCTGTTGGCCTCCCTGTCGGCGGATGTGTATAAAGGCTGCCCCGGCAGTAAGCAGCCCAAGCCCATCAACACATCACTCCTCCTCAGTCGCAGCAAAGTTCCCCAATCCCTGCTCATGCCACAAGCTGCTCCATCGGAGCATGCCACTGATGGCTGCTGTGGCTCAGACAGCGCCCCTGAGAGGCAGAGGAAGTGGACGCTGTGCCCCAGCGGGCACCCTGCACTGGAACCCACAGACCAGCTAGCTCTTCCACCAGTGTGGGGACTCTTCTCATTCCGGACTGCCCGTCAGAACACAACACGGCTCCCAGGTGCTCCAGCAGGTGTGGCTTTGTTCCGGGGGAGGCTGGTTTCTGGCCAGGGAGTCAGGCTCTGACTCGAGCTCTGCCAACAGGGCCGTTGGGAAAACCATTAGCAGTGGCATCCAAGACCTGGTGCTGAGAAGGCACTGTAGCAGGGCCAGAGCACCAAGCTGATTTGTAGACAAAGGCTCCGGTGGGGCGGCGCGAAGGAAGCCTACAGGAAGCCCCCACTGCACAGAGCCCCTCCTGGGGCCGGGCATGGTGCCACTAAGCCAGACTTTGCACATTCCTACCCAATGGGGTGTAAGTGCCCACACTGATGCCCCCATGTGCCGTGCAGTGCAGTGGTCAGGCCCTACCTGCAGCACGTAGCCCTCCCTCGCACTCTGCTCCCGGCCTAGCGCCATGCGCAGCTGGTCCTGGAGAAGCCGGTTCTGCTCCAGCAGTTCAGAAGCCTCTTTCTGGCTCTGTTCCAACTGTGGGCAAAAAGACACACACTTTAATAACAACAAAGCCACAATCATAATGAAGGCAGATGAAAACGACTGGTGGGAACCCGTCCCTGGCTGGGATATGGCACGTAGTGACCCTCCTCCTGGTCTCCCACGTGGCTAGGGACATTTGGAGTCTCCAGTTTCAGGAGATGGGCTGACCTAGCCCTCAACCACTCAGGTCCAACCCACACAAACTTGTGAGTTATGCCTGGTGGCGGTGGGAACATGAGGCCTGGCTCGTCCTTCCCGTTCCTGGCAGACCTAGGATCTTGCATTAGCCCCACACCTGCTTGTGTCCCTGAAGAGGAGCTGCCCGCCCACCATGCAAGTCTTCCTGGGGGTGACTAGACGTGCAAGAGGTGATACAGACAGACAATGGATTCCTACTCCACTGTAAACACAAATGAAGCCTCAAACATGCTGTGACTTGGATGAACCCTGAACACATTGTGTTCAACACAACGAGTCCGTGTTTAACAGACACACACTACTTGAGTTCACTGATACGAAATAGGCACACACAAAGAAAAGACAGGCTACTGGTGGCCTCCTGGGCCTGTGCTCACAGTGCTGAGTGGCTGGAGAAGGAGAGCAGGAGTGGTTGGAGGGGAACCAGTGTCTCTGCAGTAGGCCTGGGGACACTTGGTCAATGTTGTTTGTGGGTGTTTTTATCACTCCCCTCCGCCCCCCCAGGCCTGCTGGCTCCCTTCTGGGGAAGGTGTGCCGTTCTGTGGGTGAGTCTGGACTCTGCTCTGACATCAGGAGAGACAGATCCCACATAAAGATCTGCCTGCCAAGGGGCTCCCTCACCGGCGGTATGAACCCAGTGAGCAGGCAGCTACTTTACCCTCTTCCTGCGTCTGAGGGCGGTGAATTCTTCTATCACCCACCTTCCCCTTCCTGGGTGTTTGCAAAGTGTGTGTGAGTGTGCGTGAGTGTAACCTTGGCAGTCAGGAGCTGGAAACTCCTCGGTGGGGAGGGCTCAGAAGGCATGGCGTGCTTGCTATCAAGGTCCCCTGACTGGTAAACACTGGAGACGCAGCAGCACTCCAAATAAAGAACAGAGCCCAGGCTGCAGGGTCGATTCTGAGCGGCCTACAGAACAGAGCATGATGCCCCGGGACGTCCAAGGTTAGATCTTTATGGGGTAGACAGCTACATTTCCCCCGAGAGGCAGCTCGTGGGTTCAAAATGTTGATCTCTGGGTACCAGTTGAGCACATGACCATTATACTGTTGTTGCCAGGGCACTTATGGTGGGCACTTGACAGCCTGATAAAAATCACAGCCTGGGCTTGGTGCCTGGCAGGCTGCTGGCACAGCCCATCCCAACGGCAGAGTGATGTGGGCCTGGGCGGTGTTTCACTGTTCTCTTGCCTTCATTGTTTTGTTAACCTGCGCAGAAAATGGAAAATGGGCGTGTTGGCACTAGCCCCAAGTGTCAGCCTGAAACCTTAATAAGATGAGGAGTGGGCCAGTGGCAATCCCCCCTTCTCTCATGGCTGCACACACACTTCGGTGACTTGGACCACACTGTCTCAAGTTCTCACCCTCCAGCTGAGCTTTCTCTCCCTGTTCACATACACTCACTGCCTCCTAAAGTCCCTCTCCGATCTTCCAAATGGCTATTGTTACTCTGACCCCACAGAGTTAAAATAAGCAAACACACACGCTCAAGGGAAACTTGAAAACGAAAAACGGGATTAACTACACTCCTGCTTGGCCTAAAGAAGACTCCAGTGGCTGGGTCTGGTTTAAAGTTTTTAAGATTACCTCAGGGCAACACTTTCAGTCTGGAGTTAATAATCACTTGTAATTCTGTCCCGAATTTCTGCCTTTGGATTGGAATTCTTCTATAGAATCTTAGATCAAATGTTTAGTATTGGAAGCTGGGCACCATCGAGTTCTTCAGATCTCACGGTGAGGGAAGTACTTGTAGTTACATATCCCATACCCCCCAACCCCCCCACCACAAACAAAACACCCAAACTCATTGCACCACGGAGTCAATTCTGACTTACTGTGACCCTAAAGAGCACGGCAGCCCTGTCCCTGTGGGTTTCTCAGACCGCTTCGTCGTCGGACTGGAAAGCCATGTCTTTCTCCGTGGAGCAGCTGGGGTTTCAAACTGCTGACCGTGTGGTTAGCAGCCCAACCAGAAACCAATGTGCCAGCAGGGCTCCTCCTACAGCCCCATCCTCCTCCGATTCCTGACTCTCCAGTGTCCTATGTTGCTCCAGGCAAACAGAGAGCAATGGTGCCTTGGGATGGCCAAGTGCAAACACTCCTGAGCCAGGCCACACAATGAACGAGAAGGTACAACAGAAGCACTCGACACGCTCCGAGGTACAGGGGCAAATCTTTGACTTTAGTTACATAAAAGAGTGCATTTAAAATATGTTGCTAATAACCATGCCTCTGGCTTTCATAGCAATGATCACGTGTAGCTCCCAGACCATGGAGTCTCTGTGAACTTGTATGGATTGAGTTCCAGATTATTTTAAAGCACGGACTTGGTATGTCACACGTGTACGAGGCTACTTATTCATTCTGTACCTTACCGCCCTAAAGGGGGCTCAAGAGGAGTTAGCCCCAGGGGTAGTCTAATAAAAAACAGATCCAAGCTGGCCTCAGATCAACTGCCAGTGGCACCCACCCATTCTTTACCAGGGTGGTGGGGAATCACCCACCTGGCTTCCATGTCTACTCAGGCTGTCCCTGCATGCTCTGCAGGCCACCTCCCAGACCTTCAGGCCATATCATGACCGCCTGGCTGCTGTCCAGGCCTCCGTCAGTCAGTCCCATCTCTGCTGCCCTGGAGCAGCCCAAACTGGAGTCTGGTCACGTCCCTGTCCGCTTCCACCCTGCGATTGGCCGACAGACCCTGCGCAGTGGCGCAGCACTAGTCTTGTCTAGCTCTACGGAAGCAGGGCCCCTCCTCCTGCCGGCACGCTCTCCTGGGAACTGGCTGGGATGTCTGTGTCCCCTCAGCCCTCAGGCTGCACTGTGAGGATTCGCTGCTGTGTCTGTTTCTCCAGATGCTTGTGTACGCTCCCTGGTGCCATGGTTACACACACGCCAGCAGTGGAGGTGTGCCCAGGCGTGTACCCACCCTCTGTGTTACCTCTTTTTCCAGCAGAGAGGTCAGCTCGTGCGCAGGGAGCCGATCACTTCCATCCTCGAAGGGGGCCAGGTGCAGCGGGGCGATGGGCACTTGCTTCTCTTCCCGCAGGGGTGTGGTTTCCACTTGATGCCAACGCTGCTCAATCTCCACATGGACACTCTGGGTCTTCAGGTCTGAGGTCACGGGCAGCCCCGAGCTCCGGTCCACCTCCATGCGAGAGACGGCATCATCTGCTCCTGGCCCTGGGTCTGCAGTGTCAAGGGCCCCGAAACGTCGGCGGCGCTCCTCCCGGCGCCTGGTGCGCTCCCGTTCCAGTTCCTGCTCCCCTAGGTCTGCCTCGGCACACCCAGACTTCTGGGCATCACAGGGCCTCCTGGCACTGGCCCTCTCTTGGGCCAGGGCTTGCTGGATGGGACGGAACTCGGCCCAGTCAAAGGTCTTGGAGCGCCCCTCGCGCCTCCGCTCCCTCGCACGGCTCCGTCTCTGCTCAGGGTCTGGCTCTCCAAGGCCACCTTCCTGCTTGTCACTTGGCCGAGGGCAGATCTCGAGGGAGCGGCTCTTGTTCTCCTCCTGTGGCAATGAGCTGGCGGGACAAGGAGCACAGTACCTGTTAGAAGCTCAGTTAACAACGATTCCACACTGCACAATGACACAGATGCCCTCGAGGACCTCAGGAGAGCCAGAGAGGGACTGTCCTGCTCACCCCTTAGCCAGCCACCCCATCCTGGAGAGAACTCAAACCTGTCTCTGAGTAGGCAGGGTGATGGGAGAGGAGAAGCCACCAGCTGCCCAGGGTTCCAGTCGGGGGCATGCAGGTGGATGGGGATTCCCTTGTCTGATAGGTGCTACGACGGCTGTGTCATGATGGCCCTGCCGCCCAAAGGCAGACACAGAGCTCTGCGGAGTGCCTGGCCCACACTGCCCAGACCAGGGCTGACGAAGTGCCTTGTAGGCTATGCCGATATGTCCACCACCTGGGCTCCTGGAAAGACTTGGCTTCTTCTGTGGTGTCCCTGTACTGGGCAGTGGTGGCAGCAGGAATGAAAAACAGCCACTTCCTAAGGCCTTTTCTCATAGGTGGGTGGGTGGACCCAAGCAGGTAAGCAGCACGAAGAAATAATGTGTTCAAACTACTCTTGTTGCCGGCATGGAAGATGGGACGGAAGGACTGGCTCAAGGCTCTGGGTGAGCGAGACGGCCCAGCTACCTGGCAGGCTTTATTATGTAGTGCTGGAGGGGACCCCCACCAAGGGAGCCTGAACTGGCAAACACATGGTGGAACCTGGCCCCCAAGCACACTAGGGAGGTGAGGGAGGCCTGGAAAAGGCTTGGGGCACCTGAGGAGGCTTCGGCTGGGCCTTGTCTGCCCAGACCCTGAAGATAGCCTATCTGAGCAGGGTGGGGCAAGGCACTGCTTTGGTGGTGATCTGGCAAGAAGGTTAGGTGCAGATCTGAGGCAGCAGTCTCCAGGCTTCCTGCACTTGAAAGGCTTCAGTAGAACCCAGCCAACTCCAGGCTGGGGAGTGTGGCCCCACCAGAACTCTCAGAGGCAAATGGGGCGAAAGAAAGCAGCTCTGCACCAGAGGTCCAGTCCCAGTTGCCGGCGAAGGTAGACAAAGCGCTTCAGGGCTACGGGGTCTGCAAACCTTCACCCGAGACCATGCACATCTGGAAAACAATGACCAGTGTGTCCCCCAGCTGGCAGCCGTGGCTAGGACACAAAGAGGGACCACCTCCTATGCATGGTCCGCCCAGCAGGGAGAGGCTGCCCTGCTCCTTGAGGAGCCTCCAGCTTCAGAGGCAGAAAGTAGGCAACAAGCCAGCAAGTCTAAGGACAACCGAACAAAGAGGGCGTGCACCTAGATCTTCTGACACGTCTCTGTTTGCAATGCCCTCCTGGGCTCGGACCTTGCAGTACTGAAGAGCGCTTCGCTCCTCAAACAGTAAAGTCCCCGAAGGACAAAGGGCAAGAACCAATGTGGGACATGCACTCTTGGCTTGGTCAATAAATTCTGGTCAAAAAGGTTACTACTGAGCCAAATCTTTGTATGGGATTTGGTCCTGGAAGGTAGGAGGCACATCTCATGCTTCACTGTGATCCCTGGCATCTGCCTAGGGCTTGGATGCCACACCATGTTGAAGAGAAAACAGGAGAGCCAGGGTGGGGCCTCTTCTCTGCACCCACATGTACACAGCATTCCCAGGTCACAGATACACCTGCTCAGCAACATCCCAGGGCTGATGAGCTAGGGTCAGTGTCTGCAGGCAGGAGCCTTGATCCAGTGCACAGAAGAGGAGTGAGAACAAGGCCCGCAGGGCCCCGCCAGACTAGCTGGCCCTTGTGTATTCAGAACCTACCCGGTAAGCCTCTGCTGCTGCCAGCAGCCTTGGCAGGGAAGCCTTCCCTGCACTCCCGTCGCACCCGCCTGCCTCACTGTGCCGACAGACACCCTACAAGAAGGGAGTTCATTGCTTTAAGAATCAAGGATCCTGAAAGGTGGAAAACAGAGTGCTAGTCCTGGTCACAGCCTCCTGGCCTGACTGACTCAGGAACCAGTGAGAAGAACTGAGAAGACATGGACAAATGATGCCAATAAAGATAGGAAAGGATCAAAGAATGAATCCGGTTCCTCAAAAAGTTAACACAGAATTACCATACCAAAACCAAACCCACTGCTGTCGAGTTGGTTCCGACTCAAGATGAGCTGAGCTGACTACAAGACCCACCAACAAAACTACTCCATGGCTCACCAATTCCACTGCTGGTATGTATGCAGTAAAGATATTGGAAGACAGGACTCACACCGTTCACTGCAGCATGTCTAACACTAGATGAAGAATGGAGAACAGTCAGGTCTACAGGCGTCTAATAGCACACGGCTCAGCCATAAAGAGAAATGAAATTCGGATGCATGCAACCACATAGATGAACCTTGAGAACATGTTGCTGAATGAAGCCAGTCAGTCACAGATAAACAAGCAATGTCTGATGCCACTGAACTGAAATACCCAGAAGCAGCAAATGAACAGAATGCAAGCCTATTCGTGGTTCCCTGGCGAGGGAGAAGGGAAGGAGAGTTCCCGTGGAAGGTGATGGGAGGGTCGGGACATGGAGAGTGGCGGTGGGTGCACAACATGAGGAAGGAAGTGAATGTCCCTGAATTCCACAGAAATATTTTCCCACAGTAATAGGAAAGAGGAAAGAATCAATGTGAGATTCCTTTTCTTAATTCTTGTTCAAAGTGGTCTGGAGTCAGTTTGACCAGAGGCAGGGTTTGGAGAACAACCAGCGAGTGGCCACGCCCGGACTTGGACTCCCTGCTGCTGCCCAGCTTCCCGGCTAAGTGCGCAAAGCACTTGAGAGGCTGTGGTGAACGTCAGAGGCTCCTGGCCCCAGGCCAGCAAGCAAGAACACGTGCTGGTCTTCACAGCACCAAAGACACACAAGAAGCATCTCTTCTCTTCTGAAAAGAGGACTAGCACACAGCCAATTGTGAGCGGCAGGCACCAGAGACACAGGAGGGAGCAGTCTTCCAATCAGGGCCTCAGCACCAAGCGCTCCGGTGGCACAGAGATGATACATGGGGGAGGAGCGGCGCTGAGACAATGCGACTGTGTGGCTTCCTGGCCCACATGGGCAGAGACCGAGGCTAAGTGACCACACGGCGGAGAGGTGGAGGCCTGGAGAAGGACTTGGCTGCTGGCTGGGGAGTGGTGCTGCAGGGGACCGATGACTGTCTCCTGTTTGCTGATCTTGGCTTGTGGTGATCTACTGATTTCCTCAAAAACCCCTCCACCCCATCCTTCATGGTGGGGTCAAAAACCATATATGTGAGACAGGGGAAAAGGGGAAAAGGCAGGCTTACAGGAGCCTGTGAGTATCGCCGTTTCAGGGCTGCCAGGACTTAAAGCATCACAGCAGAGAGCCACAAGAACCGACACTGGGTCCAAGCAGAGACCAATAAGCCAGGCTCTGGCAGAATGGTAGGCCGTGCCCAAGGCGCCCCCAGCATGGGCGGAACCAGTGGGCTGGGAAACGGAGGGCTGGCCTGAAGCAGGAAAGCAGGAGGCAGGGGTCGAAGAGGGCCAGCAGGGCAGGGATGAAGGGGACGGGAGAGAAGGAACGTCAGAAAGAACCGCCCCTCCGGAGGGAGGCCAGCCTCGGGCCTGGCTTACCTCGTCACGTCAGGAGCGGTGGTTGGGTGGACATGCTTCATGATGGTCTGGATCCAGTTCCGCCGGATCCCGGATGTCATCGCTGAGAGGGCAAACTCGCCCTCCTTGGTCTGTATAAAAGAAGAGGGTAACCAGTGATTCACCAAATATGCCTGCGGTTCCCAGCCCTGGCAGTCATGTAGGGGCCTGGCTGGGCAAGACAGCCCTTCCAGGAGCGCCACAGGCACGTCAGGTGCCAGCAGGAACAGGGAGAGTGTGCACACCTTAACGGCACTCATTAGCAGCAAGTCAGGAGCTCCTCTATGATAGGCGATGTCAAGTGAGCTCACACTGTGCTGAGGACAAATGAGACGACAGGGTCCTCCCTGAGGCTCACCAAGACGGCACAATACGGTATGTGTGCAACCAGTAGTGGCGAGTGAAGCCTTACAACACAGCCACGTGGCGGTGGGTCTTGCGGTCTGACAAAGCACTGGAAGGTGGGCACAGAAGTAGATGTATGTTCCAGGCAGGGAGCAGTGCGAGGGTCTGCTTCGTGCAACAACGCGGCAAGTTGCGGGGCACACATTTAGTGTGTGGGATAAGGAGAACAGGACCAGTGGGCAGGGACAGTCAGGGCCATGGCAGTTACACGGAGGAAGAGCAGGCAGCTGCGTTGGCAAAGGTCTGGAGCTGCAGAGTGCAGGGTGGCAGCAGCGGTGACAGTAAAAGGGCAGGCCGTGAGGAAGACATGAGGCTGAGTGAGGGCAGAGAAACAGCTCGAGCGCCTCCTGGCCCCAGTGAGGGTGGCCCGGGGTCTTCTGCAGGGGCAGGCAGGGGAAGGGGGGGTGCAGGAGGGGAACAGCTTTGCTTGTGGCTGAGCACGGAGGCTCACAGAGCAGAAAAAGGAGTCAGGGCTGGACTGGCAGCGAAGGTGAGAGTGAGGAGGGTGTGGCCTCAGGCACGGGCTCCATCGGAGGAGGAGCAGGTGGCAGCCACCTTGATGTTGTGTGTCTACAGCCGTGTCTAACACGGCGGCTTCAGTGTTAAGGTCCTGAGGAGGGCTGGGCACAGGACAAAACTGAAGAGAGCTCACCTGCCAGCTGGTGCTGCTCTTACCGCCCTGGAGCCTCTACCAACAGCCCCTTCTTGGCTAGTGTCAACCCCCACCCCCAAGATGAAGGAACCACGCATCGCACTGTGTGAGAAGAGGGTGCAGATGGGCTTGGATGACCTCTGGGTTCTTGGCCAGTGTGTTACTCCGTCCTCGCGTTGTGGACATTAATGGCTCCCCTGGAGGCTCTGAGCGCTCCCCCGTGACCTCCCTGCTCACCTCCAGCCAGGGCTCTTTCCCAGCTCAGATCCCCTTCTCCTCCTCTTCCTGAACGACAACCTCACTCACCTGCTATGGCGGATGACTTCCTCTGCTGCAGGCCCTCACAACCACCCCTTCTTCCTCGCTCCCGCCCCTGCCTCAACATTCCTCTCTCCTCTCCAGCTTCCACAATACACTGCCTCCCGTCTTTGCCCTGTCTGGCTTTTGCACCGTAGCTCCCACGCCCTGAAATCAGACCTGGAGGATCAGGCTGTCTCCGGGCCCTGGGCAGGCAGGAGTTGGAGTGCAGGGCATGATTTTAGGCAGCTGCTGGGATGTGCATGTTTCAGTTGTGAGTCGCCTCATGAGAAAATGACCCATACCACCAAGTGGCAATTTGTTCAGGTCAGGGAGCTGCCCCTGTTAACAGCCCACTTTTCACCCTCAGAATGGCTTCCTAAGGAAACCTACTAGGTTTTTTGTTGTTGTTTTCTTTTTTTGTGTGTGTGTGTGTGGGGGGGGGGGGGCGGGCGGGAAGAAATCTTGGCTGGAGGCCATTTGTCAGTAAACAAGATCTCCTCCAGCCAGCCATGAGACCAAGCCAACAAACCATCTTGGATTATGCCATGGCTATTGGCAAAGGCCACACAGGAGCTCTGCAGCCCTGCGGACCTGGAAGCTGAGCTCCTCATTAGCATTAACACACTGGCTGCAGGCCAGGGCCTGGGTTTCCTCTAAGTCTGGTGTGACAGGTTTTTTGTGCCAACACAGCACTTGTGAGGAGATATGGAGTTTAGCCTGTCAACCAGGTCACAGCTTGATGACCCCCTTAAGAGGTGCGACCAAGATAAATGGCTCTCTGGAGGTTCCCCTCTACCCCCACCCTCATCTTCCTAATGGCGGACAGAATCATGTGATATGGCCACCACCATTGGATGCACAAGTCTTTGGACCCATTGGCCTGTGATCTTCCTGTATTCTGTATCATTGCATGTGACTGCATGAGTCTAAAGAGGACTTAGGGACTAGTATTTGACTTATGGACTTGATCTGGACTGGGCTGGGATGTTTTCATATATACCATATACACTCGAGTATAAGCCGACCCAATTATCAGTCGAGGCACCTAATTTTACCACAGAAACGGCATTAAAAATGTGCTGGAAAACTCGGCTTATACATGAGTATATAGGGTAATTACTTCTTACACATATGAGTGTCACTGGATTTGTTCTCTAGTCAACCTGCCTAACGCACTGTGGTACCAGGAGCAGGGCGCTGGAGAGACAAGTCATGAAGATGGACTGGCTGTCTGTCTGACCTCTCCCTCATGGTAGTTCTTCTTCTTTGGCCAGCCAGAGGTCAGATAGGGTCATGATGTTTACTCGACTGTTTTCTGGAAAGGGTGTGGGAAGTAAGGTTTTGATTCCCAGACATTGTTTTTGGTTATCCCTCTCTGAAAAGGTGAAAAATGAATGTGATAATTGTGAATCTTGAGCTCAGAGGGTGCAATCGCCCCTTGAACTTCTCTGAGGCCATGCCCTGGCCTGATGCAGCCAGAGGCCAAAGGCCTTATTGCATATGAATGGGATAGTTTAAAGAAAGGAATTGAATTGGGCTGTTTTAAGAATGTGTTCAGCATCTGGCTGTATTAGGATTGTACTGATTTTTTCTACTTATTGTTATTCATATAATGTGTGGTAGAAATGATTATTGGGAAATATGAAAATAGACTGTTTGTAAGCCCACTCACTTCAGCCATTAAATTGGATATTTAAATGGGTGTAAGACACACCTGCAAAGAATGCTTGGAAAAGGTAAGCCCTATCCAGTGCCTTGAATGCTCAGGATGTTTGCATTAGAAAAGACTTGCTGAAAGAGCTGTTGGCAGACTGAAGAAAAAAAAAGGAGCCATTTGGCCTTTATGAATTTTGAAGTACAGGTTTGCTCCTGAAGCTAGAAAAAATTGGAGCCATTTAGGAACTCTCCTCTCTAAGAGTGAACATTGAAGGGAACCTGCAGGTAGCCTGAAATGCTTGCTAGGTGATGACCACCTGGATCCACTTATTGAGTGGAAGTGGGAAAATGCAGCAATAGAGAGATGGCTTGAATCTGGCCACTGACACCCGTGAGCCTAGTTCACAGGGACTACAGGAGGAGAGCAGGTTGGCTGGTCTGAAGTTTATAGTTGTGTGGAACCTGAGCCTATGACATGATCCAGCCCAAAGGGAGTAGGACTGTTGAGAACTTGTGAAGCGGCCCGTGGTTGAATTCCAAGGTGGCCCACACTGAGTTGAGCAGACCTGATGAGATGAAGATAAGAATTTTGAGCCTGTGAACTGATGCCTACTGCTGCTGACTTTATGGATGGCCTTTCCTGATTTGACTTTGCTTATGGATGCAGACTTGCAAGGTCCCAACTGGAATGAAGATTCTTCACATCAATGAACATGCCTGTCTCCTCAGAGCACTGGGTTGATAGAAAGGGCAGTAGAGGAATTGGAGACCCAAATTGTGGGGGATAAAGGCATGGAGTGGCTGGTTTACAAATTTGCATGTTTTTTTTTTTTGCTTATTATTATTTTTTAAAAGATCATTCATCGGGGGTTCTTACAACAATCCATACATCCATTGTGTCAAGCATATTTGTACATATGTGGCCTTCATCATTCTCTAAACATTTACTTTCTACTTGAGCCCTTGGTATCAGGCTCCTTTTTTGACCCTCCCTCCCTACCTTGTGACCCCTTGATAAATTATAAGTTATTTTCATATCTTACACTTACCTCTGTCTCTCCCCTCATCTGCTCCCACCAGTCTCATCCCCCCTCCTCTCCCCACTTTCCCCCTACCTTCCTGGTATCTTTACTCCAATTTCTGTTCCTTAAGGGTTTATCTGACCCAGATTCTATGTGTTGTGAGCTCTTAATCTGTACCTGTGTACATGCTCCAGCCTAGTCTGAAGTGAAAGGCAGGATTGGGGTCATGATAGTGGGTGGGGTGGGGTGAGGAAGCCTCAAGGAACCAGAGGAATAGTGTGTGTTTCATCACTGCTATACTGCACCCTGGTTGACTCATCCTTTCCTTGTGATCCTTCTGTGAGGGCTGTCCCAATGTCTACATATGAGTTTTGGGTTTCTGCTCTGACCCACCTCATTCTCAGCAATGTTTTTTTTGTTTCTTTTGGGTCTTCTGATGCCTGATCCTGTAGACACTTCATGATCACACAGGCTGGTGAGTTTCTTCCCTGTGGGCTTGTTGCTTCTGAGCTAGATGACTGCTTGTTTAACTCAAAGCCTTTAAGACCCCAGATGCCAGATCTTTTGATAGCCAGGCACCATCAACTTTCTTCACCACATTTGCTTGTGTACTCATCTTGGCTACAGCAATTGTGCTGGGAGGGTGAGCATCACGGAATTCCGGGTTAGAACAAAGTGTTCTTGCATTGAGGGAGGGCTTGAGCAGAGGCCCAAAGTCCATCCACTTCCTCAATGTATTGCCATATAAATATATGTACACATGACAACACCACTATTTTAATGAATTAATATAGTTATATAAGTGCACACCTATGTTTATACTTCTATCCATAGCTTTGCTTCCTGGATCTTTTCTTCTGTTTCCTTTTACCTTCCTCCTTTCCCACCATCATGCTCGCCCTTCTTCTGCCTTAGTAATTGCTCTCAGCTAGACTGCTGTTGTTCCAACACGGGTGGGGGAATATTCTGTTAAGATTATGGTGCAGCAAGTACTCCCTCAACACAAGAACACGTTGTTCTAACAATTCGGCAGTCTGAGATGCTCACCTGCCTGGCGCGATCGCTGAAGACAATGGGTGCACAAGCAAATGTGGTGAAGAAAGCTGATGGTGCCTGGCTACCAAAAGATATAGCACCTGAAGTCTTAAAGACCTGAAGATAAACAAGCAGCCACCTAGCTGAGAGACAACAACACCCACATGAAAGAAGGACACCAGCCTACCCCGACACAAACACTGAAGACAAAGTGGGTGCATAAGCAAATGCGGTGAAGAAAGCTGATGGTGCCCGGCTGTCAAAATATATAGAATCTGGGGTCCCATAGGCTAGAAGATAAACAAGGGGCCATCTAACTGAGAAACAACAAAGCCCACATGGAAGAAGCACACCAGTCTGTGAGATGACAAGGCGTCGAAGGGATTAGGTATCAGACACCAAAGACAAAAAAAAAAAAAATCATAGCATTGTGAATGAGAGGGAGTGCAGAATGGGGACCCAGGGCCCATCTGGGAGAAATTGGACATCCCCTTGCAGAAAGGCTGTAGGGAGGAGACAAGCCAGTCAGAGTGCAGTATAGCAATGATGAAATATACACTTTTCCTCTAGTTCTTGAATGCTGCCTCCTACTCCCCACCCCCACTATCATGATCCCAATTCTACCTTACATATCCGGCTGGACCGGAGGATGTACACGGGCACAGACAGGAAATGGAAATACAGGGAATCCAGGACAGATGATCCCTTCAGGACCAGTGGTGAGAGCGGCGATATCGGGAGGGTGGAGGGAAGGTGCGGGAGAAAGGGGGAACAGATGACAAGGTCTACATATGACCTCCTCCCTGGGGGACGGACAGCAGAGAAGTGGGTGAGGGAGACATTGGATGGTGTAAGATATGATAAAATAATAATAATTTATAAATTATCAAGGGTACAGGGGGAGGGGGAAGTGGGGAGGGAGGGGAAAAATGAGCTGATACCAAGGGTTCAAGTAGAAAGCAGGTGCTTTGATAATGATGATGGCAACATATGTATGAATGTGCTGGACACTAATGATGTATGTATGGATTGTGAAAAGAGTTGTATGAGCCCCTAATAAAATGATTTAAAACAAAGATTATGGTGCAGGTGTTAATATAACTGTAACTGTTAGGTATAGAATATTATTTTGTTCACTTATAGAATATTGTGTTTAAATGAGGCTGACACATTTTGAGTGGTATACATTTTAGTTTTATCCTGTTGGGCACAAATATTATTTTACTATTGTCCTTGTTTTAAAAATTATAAATGGCTCTCTGGAGACCAGCCCCCTAGCCTCCCTACCTGCCTCCACCTTCCTGATGGCGGCCAAAGCCCTGTGATGGAGCCACCACCATTGGATCCACACAACTTTGTACCCACTGGCCTGAAATCTCCCTGAATTCTGCACCACTGCATGGATCTGAAGAGGGACTTATGGACTTGATCTAGACTGGGCTGTTTCTTCATATGTAATTACATCTTGATATAAAGCTCTCTCTTTCACATATATGAGTGGCACTGGATTTGTTTCTCTAGTCAACCTGGCCTAACACATCTGGGTACATAGGAGGTCCTGATCGACCTTGAAAATGTTGATATAATGGAGCTTCTGTCACAGGACCTGAAACCTCTCCCTCCACAGCACGGATGGAAAGCCAGCAAGAACATGCTTTGCTTGCCCAATCATAGTATTTTTTTGAGGGCCAGAGTCTGCCTTGTTCACCGCCAAGTTCCTTACAAGATGTTGGGAAGAACAGAGACTCGTGAGCGAGTGAATGAATGACGAATGACTGAAGAAGGAACTAAAAACCAGGACTCTGAGATTTAAATAGCTAACGAACATTTTCACTCTGCTCCCCTGCTTCACATCCTTCTAGCTTCCCCAAACCTCAACAGTAAAGGACCTTCATGTGCAAAGAGCCTCTAAGCAACCTTGAGAAGAAAGACGGTGTGTCTAGTTTTTGGTTCTGATCCTGACTTGGAGTAGGGGTTGGGGCTACATGACGTAAGGGTCCACATTAATGGGAAAGAATGAGGGCCAGGCTAACAGGAGGCAGTTGGCTCACCCAGGAATGTTCCTGGAACTAGGGCATGGGGAGTGGAAGAGAAATGTCCCTGCTCTTTCAAAAGGTTCAGCCTGGATCCTCCCATCTCCACCCCAAGTCTGTTTCCAAGCCCCAACCCCTGTGCTTACGTGTATCTGAAAGCCATAGTTTCGTTGGACTGGATACTCAGTGACATTGTAACATGTAGCCAAGTCAATTTCTCCATCCAGGTCCGCTGCCTGCAGAGAGAAATGCAAAGAAGGAACTTTCCCATACAAGTCACACTGAACTCTCCTATCTCCCACTCCCTTGAAGCAGCACAGTGCCATTCCTCATCTCTGGCCAGGGACAGGTTGACAACTAATGAAATAATATTGTTTACTTATTTATTATTATTTTAAAAAATCATTTTATTGGGGGCGCATACAACTCTTATCATAGTCCATATATACATCAATTGTGTAAAGCACTTTTGTACATTTGCTGCCATCATCATTCTCAAAACATTTGCTTTCCACTTGGGCTCTTGGAATCAGCTTATTTTTCATTTTTTCCTTTCCCTCCCTCATGAGCCTTGAATATTTATAAATTATTTTATCATATCTTATACTGCCCAATGTCTCTCTTCACCCACTTTACTGTTGTCCATCCCCCAGGGAGGAGATTATATGTAGATCCTTGTAATCGGTTCCCCCTTTCTACCCCACCTTCCCTCCACAGTCCCGGTATCACCACTCTCACCACTGGTCCTGAGGGGTTCATCTGTCCTGGATTCCCCGTGTTTCCAGTTCCTATCTGTAACAGTGTACATCCTCTGGTCTAGCCAGATTTGTAAGGTAAAATTGGGATCATGATAGTCGGGGGAGGAAGCATTTAAGAACTAGAGGAAAGTTGTGTGTTTCGATGCTACACTGTACCCTGAGTGACTCGTCTCCTCCACGCTACCCCTCTGCAAAGGGATGTCCAGTTGCCTACAGATGGACATTGGGTCCCCACCCCGTACTCCCCTTCATTCACGATATGATTTTTTGTTCCTCGATGCCTGATATCTGGTCCCTTAGACCCCTCGTAATCACACAGGCTGGTGTGCTTCTTCCATGTTGCTTGGTTGCTTCTGGGCTAGATGGCCGCTTGTTTACCTTCAAGCCTTTAGGACCCCCAGACATTTTATCTCTCGATAGCCGGGCACCATCAGACTTCTTCACCACATTTGCTTATGCACACATTTGTCTTCAGCCTTTGTATGGGGAAATCATATTATTTAATGCTCAAAAAGGCTGGCTCTAATTTTCTTTTTACTTTTCACAACTATTTGTTCTTTTCTTTTTAATGGTAAGTACATTTTATCCTTGGTAATATGTACTATATACCATATTCCACTCTATCTTTAAGTTCACATGTAATGTTTACAGCCTCCAAATTGGATTCATAAAAATACAGGTAATGAAGAGCAATAATAATGAAAACTGAAACAAACTAACAACAATAAAAACCCCAAAGGTATTTGACTTAAGCCAGAAACCATTACGATGGAAGCCCTGGGATGAAGCCCTGTCGTAAGCCAGTGCCCATTTGTACTGACAGATGGCATATCAGCAAATGACACGGGGAAAAGCACTGGGATGAAGCCCTGTCGTAAGCCAGTGCCCATTTGTACTGACAGATGGCATATCAGCAAATGACACGGGGAAAAGCACTGGGATGAAACCCTGTCGTAAGCCAGTGCCCATTTGTACTGACAGATGGCATATCAGCAAATGACACGGGGAAATGTTACTTGTTTACCTTTTCTTTTTGTTTATTTATTTTCATTTAAAAATAAAACTAAAACAATTTTATTTTTATGAAAAATACTTTCCAGGGAGGGAGGGAGAAAAACGAGGAGCTGGTGCCAGGGCTTAGGTGGAGAGCAAATGTTTTGAGAATGACGAGGGCAATGAATGTACAAATGTGCTTTACACAACTGATGTATGTATTGATTGTGATAAGAGTTGTATGAGCCCCTAATAAAATGATTAAAAAAAATTCTCCAAAGCAAAAAAACAATAAGATCAGTAATCAGAGTGGTATTGTTTTACATTTTTAGTAAATCTCTTTAACGCCCAACATAGAGACAGCCTGCTGCAGCGGCCAGTCTGTTCAATACAGTGTTTTGCAGAGACTGGCCTCACAGATGCGTAGTTGGGAGAGTCCTGCCACAGCATCTTCAGACGATTGTGGCCGGTAGTTTCTTACAGGGTTAAGTGCACTGTGGAACCTGAGGTCAAATCAGTGAACTTTGCACCCTTGGCTACCCTGAAGCCCGTTGTCTTCGCCTGCTCTTCAAGTGGTCTGTGGCCCATGCATGGCCCGAACTGTATGTGCCAGTCAGGCTGCAGCTCTCCCCACTGTGGACACATTTCACTAAATAACGTCCCAAACCACCACACTGGCAAAGTCACTGCACAAAGAAAAGCTGCTGAGCTCCTGACAGTGAATAACAGTTTCCCAAAATTCTAATTGTTGCTTGAAGGTTGAAATGGTATCATTGTCAACAAATACTTAAAAGGTTTTCCTTCAAGGAACAGGTGAAGGCCCTTGGTCCATTTTTAAGAAAACGTCTGGCACACCCTCAGACCCGAACGACACAGCTGGCTGACTCGTCTTTCAAGTAAGATGGTGTTCCCGCAGTTCAGCTGGCACGGCGGGCCCTCACAGTGCTTCCTGCAACCTGCACACGTGACTTAGGCTTGCCCCGTCTGGTCTTACAGACTACTGAGAAGGAGGAGCTGTGAGGGTTGGGGCCTAGTAATATCCCAGGCTCATTGCTCCTCCAGGGGTAGTCTCACGTGCACTTGAACCTCCCTGGGTGGCACTGAACACGAGCACAGCTGAATGCCACGTCCATGATTTCTGCTAGTGCAATAGCAGTTTCACTCACCACCATGGCTTTTGTGCCAGCGGTGCCAATGTCAAAATAATGCAAAGCTAACAGTACCTTGGCATTACAAGGCTTGCTTTGACTGCCCCAGTCCCCTTCAAGGGTCCAAGGGACCCACCCCCCAGGAGCCCACAGTCCATGCTCTGAGAATTTCTTCCCTGTGCACACAAGCCAACACTTAAATCCGCGCCTTTATTCCCTGATTTTAGACATCAGTGGGGGCAGGCCATTCACAAGAGTCGTCTGTCTGCGTTACGGACACATGCTTCCACTACCATGCATAAAGAGCTCCGTGCGTTTGAGATTTCAAGTATGCAAATACATCTAACCAGTCCCCTAAGGACAGGTGTTCAGGTTGCCTCCAATTTCTGCTGTTTTGAGTGATGCAAGAATGGCTAGCCTAGTACACAGACCTACTTCTCCATAGGGGTACAGTCAAAGGACCCCTGAGCACCTTCAAAAATGGAGCCAGGGGAGAAGTCCAAACTCACCAAAAGTCCAAAGACGGCTATTTATAGGTGAAGAAAGACCCTCTGCCTGGTCGCCAGCATGGAGCAAGCAGTGTCAGGAATGCCAACAGAGCTGATGACCCACCACAGACTGTCCTCACCCGGAACACCCACCCAACCACTGCCAGAGCGATTCCAACTCACAGCGACTCCAGAGCACAGGACCGAGCAGAACAGCCCCCGCTGGCTTCTGAAGCTGTACATTTTTACAGGCGCAGAAAGCCTCACCTTTCTCCTGAACTTAGTGGACAAGATCTCTGTCAATTCTGCTAATGACTCAATTCCCCACAAAAACCTGAGTTTCCAAGGGAGACATCGCAGAGAGTGTTCCAAGAGAAGGGAGGACAGCTGGTGAGGGCCTACACTGGACATTCACAGCACGCCCAGAGGGAGCGGCCATGGAAGTTGGCTGTGGCGGTGCTGTGCTAAAACATCGCCCCACCCCCTCCCCGAGACACACACACACACACACACACGGCAAACAGGGAGACAGCAGTGGTGCTGTGAGTGGGTCCCGAGCATCGGGGGCTGCACAGACCCTCCAGCTGCCTCCACAAGAGAGGCTTACCCAAGACACTCACCTCCTCAGCCACTGAATCCCTGTAGTACCTCAGGCTCTGATCCGCCAGGACAAACCAGTGTTTCTTCCACTAAAAGGGAAAAGAAAATACTCAACCACCAGGAATTACCAAGGTTTCCCAGAGCCAGGGCTCTGTGCATGGCTGGCAGCACACAGAGGAGCCTGTGCAGGCCGCAGGCAGCTAAGCACTCATGCCCTGGGTGCCAGCAAAGCTGTAGCTCCTCTCTGCGTGGTGCTCGAGCCCACAGGGATGCACAGATGTGTGGTGCTTGGCCATCCTCAGCCTGAACTCCACAGGTGTCAACAGTGAGGCCTGACAGAAATGACGGGGGACAGTGAGGAGGGCACCTGTACCCACGGTGACTTGGCTGCTCAGAGGTGGGTTCCCACCTTCAGCCAGCTGGCATGGATGAATCACCTAGGGTCCCGTCTTTACTGTGAGTGGCTCTCTTCAAGGGGCTGTGGTATGGAGGAGAAAGCATGTTTGCCCAGCTGGCTGGAAGCAGGAGCGCTGGCTGCACAGCAGGATGGGTTTCTACAGGCCGCTATCGTGGGTAGAGTCTCAGCAGGCGCCTCTTCACTGCTCTTTGGTCAAAGTTGGAGCTGGCAAGGCAGCCTGTAAATGGTTCTTCTTTCTTGTGTTTTATGACCACACTGGCTCCTCCAGGGCCCAATGGCACCAGCTGCTTGGAGCCAAGAGTCTTGAAGCCCCACACTGCTGTTCACTTTGCTGTCTGTGCAGAAACACAGCCAAACCCCACAACCAGAGGCTTTCCTGGCCCCGAGGAATTGGGTCCCTGGAGAACATCCAAGACAGAGTACCTGGTGGGGGAGCTAATGTTGCAGAGTTCCTGTCATCCCCCCCACGCATTGCAGAAAAGGGGTGTAGGGCTGAGCACCTCCACCTGTCTAAGGAGGCGAGCATGTTGGTCACAGTCCTGGTGCACAGGAGAAGTAGGCAGACAGAGCCCGATGTCTGCAGGGCTGTCTTTGGGCCACCCTGCTCCCCACTCACCTGGCCATCCTCATACTGCTTAGTCAGCCAGCCTTTCTTGAAATTCAGCAGGTCGGGCTGAGGAAAGGAAGGAAGAAGAAAGCCCCCATCAGAGGAAATCACAGTGTTTCAAGTTACGGGCCAAGGGGCAACCGGGAGGGTGCATGTTCCTGTCCAGCTGGAGGAGCAGCAGAAGGGGCGCCTGGCCGTCCAGATGTATTCATAACACACGTGTCTTGAGGGAGGAGGCGTACACTGGAGGAGAAGCAGGCGCCCTGCAGGCAGCAGGAGCAGGAGCCATAGAGGTTCTCAAAGAAAGCCCTCACTGAGGCGAGCTTGCTGGGGCTTCAGAAGAATGGGGCTCAGGTGGAGAGAACCACTGAGCAGGTTAACTGAAGGGGAACACACCAAGATATGTGAAGAGAAAGTCAGAAAAGCTTTTTCACAGAAGGCACAGGAAGACTGAGAACTGTAGCCGGTGGCCAGAGGTCGCCCCAGGCTGTGGGAAGCAGTGGCCTAGCCCTGTCAAGACCTAGGCCTCTGATCCATCGGGATGTTAACCTCCATCTCCCTGTAAGAAGCACCACCCAGACCCTGGTGATGTCTGCCTGCTCCTTCTAACAGCTCGGATCGGGCTCATAATACAAGTCCTGGACAGAGTGGGAGGAAAATGAAGAACCAAATTAAAACCCGAAAGTGAAAAATTATAGAATCCTGGAATCCTGAGAATCTGCCCTTCACCTTTGCCACCTGTGCAGGCCCCTTTCAGCCAAACAACACACAGGCCCGAAAGCCAGCGACAGCACCCCAAGGACCGTGCTCAACCAGAAGGATAGCATTTGCTGACAACGTACAAGCCACAGGCCAGAAGGGGCACAAATGAGGAGTGAACGGAAAGAGGGAGGCCATAGAGGAAGTGGGCAGAATGCTGTTACGTTGTCAGGAATACAACCAAGGTGATGACACAGAGCCTGTGTGAGTTGTCGAGTGGAACACTAAATCGCCCAGTCAGTTTTCTCCCAGACAACAATGAACTGTTTCCCAAAAGAGCAGCAGCACTGGAGAGCAGACCGTGATATGCTGTCCCGCCTGCCTCACTGGGCTCCCACTTCCAGAATGACTCGTTAGGCCCACTGTAGGATGCCCTTGACAGACACGGACCAACCCTCCTCTGGTCCAGTACTCGGTTTTTCCTAGAGCCATCCAAGCGGCTCTGGAATCAGAGGATGGGCGAGAGGGAGAAGGAGTGGGAGTTTAGCAGCTCACAACAGTATTCTGTTGCCTCTATGCAAACTCTGGAGCAAAACCCAGCCTGAAAGGTCAAACAAAACTTGCACCAGTAGGAAACGTCCCGGCTTGTACTCCATAGCCCCATGAAAGGGAGTGTGGCCAATGGGATCTCCTCGTCTTCTCAGGAGGCTGAAGGCATTAGGAGGGAAAAGGTTCTCTACTGACCAGTGGGCTGTGCACCCCAAGCCTCTGCTTCCCTCTTCTGCTCTCACCAGGGTCTTCCTGACCCTGCTCAGCCACCAGTCACACCCAGTGGCACACCCTGGGCTAGTAAAACCTGGATGTAGCCCAGACCTGCTTTCCTGCTATGGGGACCCCAGTGTGCAGTGAAAGTGGGCCCTGCCTCCAAAGGAGCAGAGGCGAGGGGCAGGGTCAGGCCGAGGCCCCTGCTCTGGCCTTGGCTTGGAGACAGGTTCTCCTGTGGTGGTCAAGGGGCCCTTCCTCACAGGATACTCCAGCAGTGCTAGATACTCTGTGGACCCCTCTGGCTCTGCAGGGTCCACAAGAGGAAGAGGCAGCAGGGCCACACCAGGGTCTGCTTCTGAGTCCCAGGAGTTGGTAGCTGGGTCAGGCGCACAGAAGTGGCTCTTGAAGCGCTGACAGAAACACACACAGAAACAGGCCGGAGGGCAGAGAGGCAGCAGGACAGCTCCAAGGACCCCTGTTTGGGTGCTAGCAGGGCTCACCGTCATGGAGGGCTCCGTGGACCTCCTGTCCAGTGACTTGGCTCTTCGGTGTGGAGACAGAGGGGGAGCTGGTGCATCTGGGAGCGGGGCTGTAGGGGCTTCAGCAGTGAGGTCCTATGGCAAAGAGCAGTGCTGGTCAGTGCAGCCGAACCCGGGGGACATGTGGCCCCAGGTGGGGGCCTGCAGCAGCTTGGCAGGGGGTCCCACAAGGTGCCCCAAGGGTGAGAAGATGATGATCTGTGCGGGGTCAGAGAGCAATGCCTGGCAGAGCTGGCACCGGGACCTGAGCCCTGGACTATGGCCGGGCCTCTCCACTGCACACCTTGGGGCTGAGCTCCTTCCCCATCTGCAGAGCAGTCTTCTGCTCCAGATGTGCCCATTACCACCATCCCCCGTTCTTCCTCCACCAGCCCGCCCGCCCCAAAGCTTGGACCGCTCTCAGCCTCTCACTTCTCAGGAGGACCACTCCTGGCTTGTGGGCGCGGCCACACGAGGCTGTGCATAGGTAGGAGAGCCAGTGGAGGCTACTGTCACCTGCATGCTGGTGCCCTACCTACACAAGGAAGAGAGAAGCCAGGGCAGGGAGGAGGAGAGGCAGCCCCAGAAGAGGTGGTGGTGGGAGTATGCTACCCAGAAGGACAGTAAAGCTGATTCTTCCTTGTGGGTGAGCAGAGAAACGGGTTTGGTGGGCCCTCAAGACAAAGAATAAGGAAAGTGGTTTACTCAGACTTTTTGCAGGGCCACGTCAGAGAAGAAGAGAAGATCCCAGATACAATTTGGGTACTAAACCTCATTCAGAACATCCTTCTGCAAAAACGGATGAAGTTCTAGCATGGAGATGCCAAAGACCAGCCCTGCCCTCAAGAAGGCCAATTGAGAAGAAGACCAGAGACAGAAACAAGTAACTACGAAACCGTAAGGGGAGTCCCCCAGAAGTGGGCAGGCAGGCCATCGCAGGAAGGCCCGGAAGAGGACTGGAGGGTGGGATGGCCTTGACTGGGGGCTGGGCATGCCTTGTGAGCAAAGTGACAAGGCCCTTGAGAGCACGCAGCGGTCACGCCTTGAACATCACTGTGAAGCCCAAAGAGCTTACCCGCTTCCTGGGGAATGCCCTCTTCTCGCTTCGGCCCTGGCGAGTGTCACCGGCCGGTGTGAGCCCAGCCGGTGCACTGGTCTCCATGTGCTCTGCCTTCTCGATGTCCAAGGCCTCAAACTTCTCGATCACCTGGGACCTCCTGCAGGAGAGGATGCAGAGGCTGCTGACAGAGACAGGGCCCCTCCAGTCCCCATGCGGGCCTGGCCAGCAGAGGAGACGCTCCTTCACTGACACCCTTACCCTGGCCAAGCCCAGCAGAGCCTCTCTGCTCGAGTGGGCTTCCACGACATGCTGTGGCTGAGTGGGGCCCCTGTGGCCCTCTGTGGGAGTAAGCGCTGCACGCATGCTGGCAGCAGCTTACGGGTGAAGCCATCCCCACCACACTGGTCTCTCCTTGCCCTTGCCCCACAGTCCCCGGAGGCTGATGTGGTCACACATCCACACTGCACAGCTGGCTACCCAGCACCCTCTCCTGACCACACTGGCATCAGGAGGTACCACCACCTCGAAGGGGAAGCAGCTTCAGTGCCCGCTGCCGCTTGTCAACAGACCCCGATGCAGTCCCCACCCCGGATACCCACAATTTAGCAAGAAAGAGGCCCAGGAATTAACACTGTTTCTGCCAATAGTGAAAAGAATCAAAAACCAAATGAAAACAAAACAAAAAAAAGCAGGTTGATTTCATGTGAAAAGGCTGGCGGCATCATCAGGTTGTCTACTGCTGGAGACGGAGCTGAGATGGGAGCGAAGCAGGCGGAGGAAGGACGAGTAACGTCACAGCGACACAGCAGGAGGAGGTGGAGAGGGACAAGACCTGGAAGAAAATAAGGCTGGAAAATGAATACATAGAAAAAAGAATTGTCTTTAAAAATCAAATAATGGCAAACCAAAATTATCCAGGAAATTAAAGGAACAAAACCCCAAGGTGATCATGGGGAGGGGGTGGTCCTGAGATGTCCCCTGAGCAGTGGAGGCTGGCCTGGGGTCCAGTCCCACTGATATCTCCCCTTTCCCTAAGGACTGGGGACTCAGCATCTACATGGCCCAGAAGCTGCTCTCAAGGGACACCTGAGCCAGTGCAAGCACCGGCTGCCAGCCCGTCCCGCATTCTACTCGGGGTGCCCACTCCCACTCGGGATGAATGGTGAGACTTGAGGGACTCAGACTGAAGGGCCCAGGAGCCTGCCAGAGTGCAAACGCCAGGAAGAGGAGAGGGGGCAGGTGCAGATCCCAAGAGCTCCCCAAGAGGCCAGCTTTGGTGAAAATCTTCTCAGGGTATTTTCATCAACACCCTGGAAGCTGAACTGCAGACCACACCGGGGCTGCCCATGTGGGAGGTGGAGGGTCAGTGCCCACAGTAAGCCATCAATCCAGTAGTGGGGTGTGCTGGGCAGGAGAAGGAGCCAGAGGACAAGAGTGCCAGAAGGTAAGGAAGCTGCGAGAGAGCTCCTGCGCCAAAGAAAAGCTCTGGCAGACACTGACCAGTCGGCCACATTCTGAACCACTCTGGTGAAGGTATGTAGAAGATTCCAGCCCCAAAAGCGAGCTCAGAAAAGCCCAGGAAAGCAATAAGGCCCTGTGCAGTGAAGCAAGTCACATGCTGAGTGCAGCAGGGGGCGTGGGGGTGGGCACTGCGATCACCTTTCCACACGGAGATGCTTGGGAGCATCAGCCATAAGGACCCGTCAAGCGTGCGCTCCCAGTGTGACACCCTGCGGGTGGGCTGAAGACATGAGGCCAGGGCGCTGCACTCCTGCCTGGCCCATCCTCCTCAGTTCTGAAACTTGCATGGGGAGCTGGCTTTGACGGCCAGTTCCATCAGGAGCACTGCGTGCCCACACCCAGCCATCAGCAGCAACTTGCCACCCAAGAAGTAATGGTGGAGATCTGATGGGAGTGTGCAGAGTGGACATGCCCATGTTTGGCTGGCCAGGATCAGATGGAATCCGAGAAACACCCACTGTCTGGGGAGCCTAGCTCCTGGGTCATCCTGTTGAACCACCACCCCAGAGGCCAATCTCTCATCAAGGTGAAGATTTGCTTTAATGAATGCGAGACTAGTCTAGCATGGGCTGGGTGGGCCATTCAGCCAATGAGAAGCCATCGAAGTCAATGATACAGTGTTAAGGTGGGTTAGTACAGAGCTGCTGGGTTCCGGGGGTGCCAGCACCAACTAAAAACCCAACCCATGCCAGCAAAGAGCATGCAGTGAGCTGAGATCAAGACTCCCCTCAAACCCGGGCCACTAGAAAGAACTCCAAATGGACACCCCCAAAGAGCAGGGAGCCAAGCTCGAAGGTACCGAATGCTAATTCTTTACTGTGAAGCTAAACCAGGATGTGGGAACCTCACTCAGGAGCCCTTGCAGCACAGAACTCCCTGCCTGGCCCCTCTGGCCACTGACTTCTATTTAATTGCTTAGAAGAATCCCTGGCCCCAGTCCTGGGCTGTTTCATAGCAGCAAGGACTTCCAGCCAAAAGCCTGGCCAGGATTGACTAATGCCAGCTCCTCATGTCGGCTCTGTAGCCAGCTCTGCATACCAGTTATCTCACGTTGGAGACTCAGCTTCTAAAACGGGTTGTGTGGGACTGGTGACAGCAGGTGCTATCCAGGGCACCCTCTGAGATAGCACGGGTTCTCCCCAAGGGGCATGGGGCCAACAGAAGGGCGCAGACAGGGTGGGCCGTCGGCTTCTCAGATGGCAGCCTCAGTCTGGTCCTAGGCTAAGCTGTCCAAAGCCCAGTGTTCCCAGGAAGCTGTGTTTCCACCCAGTCTCCCCCACCCAGCCAAGTGCTAAGGTAAGAGTGAGGCCTTGGAGCTCAGCACACGTGCAGGCTCCGCTCCTCTGTGGCCCCCAGGGGAGTGAGCCTCTTGCTCTCATCTTCGTCAGGGTCTTTGCCGGCTCATAGACTATAAGGAAGGGGTGGGTGGGGGGCTCTCTGTCTCCAGCCCACTTCCACGGTCACCTCTTAGATGAGAAGCAATCCAGGAAGGAAAGACCCCTTCCCCAGGCCTTGGTGGCTTTGAACCCAGCTACAGTCCCCCTGGGGTCCCAGCACCAGAAGCACTGGCTCTAACTGGGGTCTCAAGGTGCTCAGGAACCCTATATTCTGCCTCCTAGAGGCAGAGTTTAAGTGTGTGGGGTAGATCAGAATACAGGACCACAAGGGAAAGGCCCCTCATGTGCTCTGAACCACAGGGAAAACCAAAGTGCTTTCCCAGGGAAAGCTTAGTATGTGTGTTCACATGTGTGCATGTGGGAGGAGTGTGTGTGTGCATGTGAGACAGGAGAAGGCGTGCATGAGTATGAGAAAGTATGCTTGTGAGTAACTGTGAGACAGAATGTGTGTGCACAGGGAGAGTGTGAGAAAGAAGGTACGCACAAGTGTGGGAGAGACAGTTTGTGCACGCGTGAGTGAATTAGAGAAGGGGATGATTGACAGTGAGAAGCATGTGCATGTGTGAGTGTGAGTTAGAGAAAGGGCATGATTGAGAAAGTGTGCATGTGTGTAAGACAATGTGTGCATGTATGAGTGTGAGTGTAAGAAAGTGCATGCTTGGGAGAGAGAACAAAGTGTGTGCATGTGTGAGTGTGAGTAAGAGAAAGAAAGTGTATGACTGAGAGTGAGAGAAAAGAAAGTGTGTGTGCGTGTGTGAGTGACTGCACGTGCACCTGAGCACCGGGGTTCAGCCTTCTATCCCCTCCTTACCTCCGCTCATTTCCAAACAGCCGGGCCACCTCTTCCCTGCCAGGGCTGCGGGCCCGAGTTTTACGCTCCAGCCGCCTTCTTTCCACCTGGAAGGCTTCTCGGTGGCTGATCCTGACGGCCTTAGGGACGTCGGCCAGGGCGGCATACTGCCTGCTGGCTTTAAAGGCAATGGTGTGCCCCAGTCTCTCTGCTTCCCGCCCCCCAGCGCCACCACAGTCCAGGTGAGCGGGGGGCTGGCCGGCTGTGTCCAGGGAGTTGAGGGAGATGCTGCAGACCATGCGGCTAGTTGGCAGAGGACCTGGGGAAGGAAGGGGATGGCCAAGCTCCTGGGAGGGCGATGTGGGGGAACTGTACCTGTTGGTGGGGGTGCTGGGACTGGGGGGAGAGATTGGTGGGGGCAGCTGCTGCTCTTCGGCCTTCAAATCCTGTTTTGTCTTCTCCAAGGAGAAGTAGCCGCTCTCCACTCGGACTTTGCGGCCACAGTCCATCTGCTCGCTGCTCATGGTGCCCTCCTCTGCGAGATGGGGGTGGGGGCGGAGGAGGGGAGAGACATACTCAGCACCGCCATGCAGCCACCTTTGCTGTGAAGGGTTTTCAAAAAGCCTGTTCATGACCACAGCACGGCCGCTCTCTAGCTTTGACACCCAAACCCACCAGTGTTGGGGGCGCTGCAGGGTGGGAACCACAGGTGCACCTTAGACACGGACAAGTGTGTCCTTACACAGAGGGCAACCTCCACCTCAACAAGTTGAGTTACAGGCCCAAGAATCTGCTTGCCATGCATGATCCAGGCATGACAAACGGACAAGGCCGGCGTGGGCCTCACTGGTTCTAGAGAAAGGGAGGTGGACCCAGGATCCACTCCTCCTCCTGCCCTTAGAGCCTGGCAGTGCCCACTGCCTCCTCCCAGCACCTCGACCCTTTCTGCTTCACCTCAGACCTGAGGCAGGATGGGTGGTGAGAAAAAGGACTGTCGTTTCCCTCAGATCAAGGGTGTCAGGTCTGCCCCAGGAGGGTGAGGAGACTAGTGTTCCTGCCCAAGAGAAGCGTGGTCAGAAAGCATGGCTCACGCTGCACCCACGGATGGTCACAGATCTGGAGCAGCCACCCGCTACAGGACGGATCAGCAAGTGCTCCGTGCACACGCTTCCTTAAATTGCCCCGCAGTTCTGCTTTTTACATCCACTCCCGAGGCTCTGGACCCAGCCCCTGTCCTTAGAGTTCAGGGTCACAGCCCCTGTCCTTAGGGTTCAGGGTCACAGGAGGACATGGTGGGGAGGGGCCTGTGGTTGGACTTGCCAGGCTCTGACTGCCCCACCTACCTTCTCTGCCCTCCAGCCCTGGTTCTTGCAAGGAGCTGACAGCAGGAGGCTGGCTCTGGCTTGGACTCAGGCTGTTTCCATCTGGCTGGTCCTTGGCTCTCATTTCTTCCTGCCACAGGGTGGACTTGGTGGTGGGAACTTTCTCGGCACTGGGGATGCTGCTGCTGCTGGTGACAGCCACTTTGGCAGGCCCTGGCTCCTGAAAGTTGACCAGGGGTAGGGCAGAGGCGTCAGTGTAGGGCATAGTGGCGTACGCCTGTGGTCGTCCCCTCTCCTGGTCCCTCTGCGCTTGACTCTGGAGTAGCTAAGGCAGTGACAAAACTCGAGGCTTGGGCAGAAGAGATACTTGGAACAGGGACTGCTTTTGGATGGCACCATGGGTTTGTCACCTCTGCAGCCCAGCCAGCTTCCCCTAAGACCGTCAAGAAACACATGGATTGAAGACTCTAGGCTCTGCTCAGAGCCCTGCTACCAAGCATAGAGAGTCCTCCCTGTGCTCCACTGCAGCGGCCTGGGCACTCGCATAGCACCTCTTCGGGCTGGCCCAGATCCTCCATCTCCAGGCACTTAAAACCCCTCAGCTGTTCTTGGGAGAGATGCAGCAGTCTGCTTCTGTAAAGACCAATAATCTTAGAAATACAGCAAAGTTCTACTTTGTCCTATGGGGTCACGAGGAGTGGAATAACTTGATGATGGTAATACGTTTGGTTTTAAGGGGGGAGAAATGAGAATACTTCAGCACTACCTTCTGATCATCGTGGTGAATGCAAAGGAAGTGCTCACACTACATCTCACCTAGGGCACCTCTGGGGCCACTCACTCTCCACTTTGAGTCCTAGGAAACTAAAATGGAACACCCTGGAAAGCATGTGAAGGAATGGATCAAGAGACACAACCCACACATCCTACTCAAATGTACACCTACACGCATACAAACATGCACACACACAGCGTGACCCGGACCTGCCGAGTCCGCAATCAGAGGAGAAGGTGTCACCAGCCGACGGAGTTGTTTGCCACATTGTGGTTGGACACATTTGTGGGGGCAGAGGTTCAACTTGGGGATGTATGGAGTCAAGCTTCTCTGTAACCCCCTCCCCACTCTGCTACCCTGCTTCATGTCCTGGCACTGCCACCTGCTCAGTGCAAGTCCTCCCTGGCTGCGGCATGGCTGTAGTCCCTCTCATAGCATCCTGTGGCTCAGCACTCTTGCCTGAAACACAGGGGCTGATACACAGGCTTGCCCTCAGCCCCACTCCCCACGTTGGTGAGCAAACGTTATATACAGAGTCCCACAGTATATCCATCAGGTGATGCTGTTCCAGGGTCTGGCAGCCATGCTAGCGTCTAGTGCCCAGCACCCCCAAGGCAACGATGCAGTGCCCTCATGGTGTATTGGCTCAGGCAGAGCGCTTTGCCCACCACACTCCCACAGCTCTTGCAGGTGTGTCCTATCCCACCAGTGCAGGAGAGGAGGAGTGCTATCTTTGAGACAGCATCCTAGAGAAACCTGGCGTCTCAGGTTCCACAAGGTGAGAGTAAGAGTGAGCATGTTGCAGGGCCCAAAACCTCTGGTCACTTTGCACAGGAGATAAGGTTGGGTGGTTTCTACAGATCCAGGCTTTTGCTTGGCTCAGAATGCCAGCAGACTGGCCTACAGGCTAAGGACCACCCCAGAGAGCATGCACACCCGAAAGTAGGCTCACTGCCCACTAATGAAGTAGGGCTTCCTAAGTAGTCCCTCCCCCAACAAGACAGTATTCTCATGGTTCCCAGATGACCCTCAGACGGTGTACACACAGCTCAGAGAAGCCCGAGAATGACACAGCCATGGCTTTTCTCCATCACCTCCTGAGGGCTGCACAGTCAGTTTCAGGGTCCCGTTGGATGACTACCTCAGAGCAGAAGTTACTCTGGGCTCTGGAGATGTTCCCGCTGTCACATCCTCCCCAACAGCCTATGGTCTTCTGCCCCAGAGGGGCAGACAAGCTTGGTTGGCAGCATGGCCTGCACAGTAGGTGGAGGACAGAAAGTTGTCCTGGTAAAGTGGCACTGACAGAGGAAAGGGGCAGTAGGCCCAGAGTCAATCAGGAGGGGCAGAGGCGGAGTCAGCGGGAGAGGCCTAGGTGCTGGCTGCTGCAAATCCTGCCCTCCTCACCCTGTGCTGTAGAAAGACCTTGTGATGGGTAAGAATGTGGTGTCAATTTGGCAGGGCCAAGATTCCCTGGTTTGGGAGTTACCTAATGTCAACGTGGCTGGTCTGTAATGATGCAATCACTGCACATGATGTTCTCTGATGTGATCTGATGCAGAGAGATTCGGTGGGATGTAACACCCTTAATCTAGTCACAGTCCTGATGTGATTTGGAGCCCCAGTGACATAGCGGGTTACGAGTTGAGCTAACTAATTGCAAGGTCGGCAGTTTGAAACCACCAGCTGCTCTATGGGAGAAAGATGAAGCTCGAGCATCTATGAAGATTTAAAGCCTGGGAAACCCACAGGGGCAGCTCTGCTCTGCCTGGAGGGTCGCTAGGAGACAGAATCCACTCTATGGCAGTTTTGTTTGGTGTTGCTACTCAAGGGTATGGCCTGCATTGAATACATATGGATATCCTGGCAAAGCCCTCTAGCTTTTTCTTCATTTGGGACCCTATATTTAGCTCTCAGGATCTGACCTCTGGTTCTTGGGATTTGAGCCAGTGGCCTGCTGTATTGCCTACCAACCTTGATTGGTTAACTTCTGCAGTCTTTGAGCCAGCAGCCCTGTTCTGACTTGATCTTGGGCTTGTCAAGCTCCTGCAGCCACAAGTGTCTGCAGAAGTCTCGGCCTGAGGTCTGGCCCGTGGACTTGGGATTTGTCAGCCTCTGTGACTGTGTGCATCATTTCCTTAAGGTGAATCTTTCTCCACATATATACAGAGGAGTGCCACTGGTTTGCTTCTTTAGAGACCCCATCTAAGACAGGCTTCATTCCAGGAGGACAGTCATGTGGTACAGAGCAGCTTAACAGAGGCTCCCTTCTCTCTTGTCAACCTGCTCTCTCTCTCCTCTATGGCAGGCCTCGTCTTGTCAATGGGGACAATGGGAACGAAGCCACTTCTGACAACCCAGGGAAGGAGGAGCGTGGAGTCCTCCCTCTGCTTCCTCTAAAGCAGGCGTGTGGAGGGTCAGACAGCATGGAAGGACCAAAATGTGTGTGTGGCAGCACAGAGCTGTAACTAGGGCAGGCTGCCTTCCCTCTCCCCATTCCACCTCGGTGTGGGGGGGAGCGCTTCCTAGGAATGCCTCTGTGTGAGAGAAAGCAGGGAAGCTGCAGTGCTCAGGGTGATGGGCATTGCAGGGAACCTGTTTGTTGTGCTTCAGGGCCACTCAGATGGGGTTCAGAGCAGGAGAGGATGGGGGGCAGAGGCCTCTCACAGCAGGTGAATCACAGCGGGCAGGGCAGCCTTACTCTTCACTCCCCATGTGAAGAAGGGAGGGCTCAGCCCTGGGGCTGGGTGTGGTACAGCCCCAAGCAGAAACCATGATTTCTGCAGAATGAGAAGCCCTGGGTGGGCCCCAGGGCTCAACCTTGGGGCAGAGGGAGCCCTCCGGTACTAAGAGCCGGGTTCATCTCACAAGTCTCTGAAAAAAGCGACGGGCAGAAGTGAGAGAATGGAGAGCCTGGTGGGCTGGGGAGAAGGGAGGGCCAGCCTGGAGGATGACAGGGTGGGGCTGGGCACATGAAACACCAGGCCCCCATATCTGCTTGGGAACCCGGCTGCCAGCCTTGTTTGGCGGAGAAGGGCAGGTTTCCAGGCGTTCACACTTACATGATCTTTTCCTTCTGCTCTAGGTTTTGGGTGCCAGGAAAGAGTCTTTCTGCTGAGAGCTTAACAGGGCTAAGGAAGGTGCTCCCTCCAGCTTCTGAGCGTGTTGCTGTGAGGGATCCTTGCTACCCAGGACACCACACCTCCTGCTAAAGGTGGTGTGCTCCCCCACAGCCTCTTCGACTATCATCATCTTTCCCCCTCGGTGTTGTCCCTACACTAGTGGTCTCTCATATGAAGCCTGACCTTCCAAGGTCCACGGCTTCCCAACAGTGCCTTTCTTTAAGGGGACTCCCTGCTAGACTGAGGGCAGCAGTCAAGGCTAATAGGGCACAGCAACAAGATGCCTTAAACCTTTGGCTTGTGTGGTCAGCAACTCTCTTGGGTCATCTAGGCCATGGAGAAGGGGTCAGAGAAGGGCTAGGCTTCCAAAGGACCCTGAGGTTTTCAGCTTTACTGACCTGACCCCCACCCAACTCTAGGGCTCCCATCTGCACACAGCACCAGGAGGAAAGGTGAAGCAGCAGTTCTCAACCTGTGGGTCGTGATCCCTTTGGGGGGTCGAATGACCCTTTCACAGGGGTCACCAAATTCTTAACAGTAGCAAAATGGCAGTGATAAAGTAGCAACAAAAATAATTTTATGGTTGGGGGGGGGGGTCACCACAACATGAGGAACTGTATTACAGAGTCACGACATTAGGAAGGTTGAGAGCCACTGCTCTAAAGGCTAAGCTGAATTGGCTGGGGCAACAGACCCCAAGTTCCCTGGGTCTAGGAGATTTTCAGGGACCTTTCTGCCTTGTACAGACCTATAGAAGGTACCAAAAAGGTACCTGCAAGTAGCAATGGTCAGAGTATTTGGGGGGGTGGGGGGGGTGGATTGTCACTGTGGAGGGGTTATTAGGGGACAAGCAGAGTCACTAAATCCCCTGGACTGGCCCAGTGTCCTCTGCACTGGAAGTTACCTTATTTGGAGTTAGAAGCTCTGCTCCCATGGCATTTCCAAGGTGTCACCATGGAAACGCAGCATAGGCCCAAATGCTGCTATTCTGTCTAACTTTTCTTTTTTTTTTTTCATCTCTCCAGCCAGCAGCTTTGGGGGATTTGCGTGTTTAACTGCTGCTCCCGGCAGGAAGCACCACGGAAGTCCCATTTTTAGTCTCTGGGAATGGCCCTGATTGCATTTTTGCCAGTTGCCTCCAGAGACGCTCACAGTCCGGGGATGCTGCTGGCCTGCCTGGCAAGGGACAGAGAGAGGGTGGACTGAGACAAGGCATGCACAAGGAGGCCCTGATGGGCATGGAGAGAAGGGGCTCAGGCAAAGAAAGCCAAGGGGACTGCGGACTGGAGGCCCTGTGCCTTCTGGGCACCCCATTCTCCTCTCTGCTATGAGGATCAAGCGAGAGAAGGCGGCCCAAGGGCCCCGGGAGGAGACCGGCAGGCCTCCATGCTCCTTTTTGTGCTGCAGCAACTCTCGGACTTAGATATCCAGCCCCCTCCCTGACATTCTGCAGAACAGGAAGCTGAGGCTCAGAAAAGTGAGATCACCCCATCAGGGCCCAACAACATGGCGCAGGGGGGGAGGGGGGGAGCATGGGTGGCAGGGAGACGCAGAGCGCCGGTCCAGACACTCTGAGGAGGGCGGAGGAAAGGTTATTCGACACTTGAGGTGTTTGGAGAAGAAGTGGACCTGGTGGCATGACCGTCACCTCTGCTCTGAGCACACAGGAGCCAAGGAAGTGAGAGGGTGTGTGCACACACTGCAAAATCAAGGCCAGTACCAGAATTTACCATTTAGGATCCAAGCCCAGAGCATGCGCAGGGGCCCCTGAGAGCCCGCGGTCTCCTGGGTGATGGCTGCAAGGGCACCTACTTCTGGCGTGCCTCTCCTCGGGTTGCGGAGAGCATGGCACATGCTGTGCTGCACAGCACTTGTCTGTTGGCTACAGCCCCATCCCAGCCCAAGCACACGCAACATCACCCTGCTCCCTGAGTCTACGAGGAAGCACTCTCCCTTCTCCCCAGGCCTCGAGGGGGTGCCTACCTGTGGTGTAGGAGGCTCTACTTTTCGTTTCTTCTTCTGGTTCTGCTTGTTGGTCCGAGGGTAGACCATGAGCATCTCCAGCCATCTGGGGAGAGAGGAGAGTGGCACCCCATGAGATCCTTGTTCAGGGATCATAGCTGTGGCCCTAGGGGCCAGTCTACCACCAGGTCCAGTGGGATCAAGTCTTTGGTCTCTGATGCCTGCGTGCAGAGCTGTCCCAGGCGAGAGTCTGCCACCTTGGGATGGGTGAGTAGAGCCAGCAGAGTGGGCCAAGGTAGGGAGCACAGATTGGCCCCAGGGTTGGACGCTGACCCTGTGATGGTCATGGTACCAGTGGGGGTCGGGGGTGGGAGTTCACACGTCCTGAAGCGTTGGCCGGCCACATGGTGACTGTTTCCCCCAGCAGCCATGTTCTCAGGGTCAGTCTCAGCTCTAAGTCCTCCCTCAGAGCAGACCTGGCAGGGGCACAGATGGGCTGGGCTTAATGTTGTATAGGGCTGTCTTGAGGCAGGAGTCCAGGAGTTGTGCCACCAAAAAGCCCTGCAGCAGGTGGCCTTCTTGACCTTTCAGCTCTCTGCTTGGCCCTATCTTCTAAAGGGAGGAGCCAGCACTAAAGGCTGTAAGATCCACCTGGACAGGCAGCAGGGAAGGTGGCAGGGCAGAGGGAGAACAAAGGTCCACAACCTTGGTAGCCCTAGCCCCTGGGCAATTTACTAGTGGACAGAGAAATGGGCTTCCTAATAGACCTACATAGTAGAGGGTGGGCAGGAGGAGGGTATCCTGGGAGGATCCTACTGACCAAGGGGGCACTGGCAGCCTAACAAGGCCTGTGGCAAGCAGTTCTTGCCTTGCTGAGAAAGAACCAAGGTCATGCCCATTCCATCAAAGCCCAAGCCCTAGGCCTGCAGACCTTTCTCCATGGGCTGCAGAAGCAGAACAGACTGTGACACAATGTCCCTTTACAACTTGATCCGGGAGGCAAATTCCCACACAAATGGGGGAATCACTGGCACAGGGCCTCTCTAGATGTCCTGCAGCCCTGCCCTGGTCTGGGTGCTTGCTGAGGGGGGCACAGCTACGGGAACAGGAGAGCCTAGGTGATGGGGCCTCTAGGCAGCACAGTAGGAGCAGGGGTATTCTGGGGCTGTTCCTAGGCCTCCCATGACTCTGCTTACACCAGCCATGCACCTGGTGATACCTAGGGAAGATGTGCCGTGGAGGCCACATTGGTGCTGAGGGTGGGCACCCTCAGAGCATAGCTGGTGCTTGTCTCTGCACATCAGGGCGGGAGCTGGAATCTGGGTGGCACAGGCCCCGCCAATGGTGGTAGGCCCTATCCTCTGCATTCAGATTGCTCACAGGAGTCAGCAGGATGTGTTGTCAGAAATCGGAACTGAGTGCACCCAGAACAGAGGGAGTGAGAGGCTCAATATGGACACAGGGCCATGGCTCAGGCCGGCTCTCCTAGTCTGGAGGGCAGCATCAGAGTGAGTGAGGGTGAGGGAGTGGGAATCGGGGCAATGCTGAAATGCCAGGGAATGGCGAGGAAGGAATGCCCAGATGAGTGCACAGAAGAGACGAGACCATCATGGCTAGCCTCCAACTATACTCTAAGGAATGGTGTGACATGGTGGACTTGTCAGCCCGCCACATTCCTTGTCCAGCTCTAGGCAGCACACAGTGGCCCATTTGGCTGGCTCTGGACCTCCTCTGGTTTCCTGTGAGAGGGTTGGGCTGGACTCCCTTGATGGCTCCCTATCCCATGCCTAAGAGGCACAGATAGCTGTGGTAGTTCACGTTAGCTTCATGTTAACTTGACATACAGAAGTGTAGGGGTGGAGTTTAGCCTGTCAATCAGGTCACAGCGTGATGGTACCTCCTTGTGGGTGTGGAATTCTCATAAGACGCATCCTGGGAACACCCCCCTCCCCCTCCCCCTCTTCTTTACCTTCCTGCTGGTGAGCTACTTGGAAACCTGCCGGAGGCCTGCCAGACCTCTGGAGATGCAGAGCCATTGGATCCATAAGACTTTGCACCTACCGGCCCGGGATATTCTTGTATTCTGCATCATTGCATGCAGCTGCATGAGTGTGAAGAGGGACTTATGGACTAGCATTGGCTTTATGGACTTGAGTTGGACTAGGTTGGGATGTTTTCTTGATATACAATTACTCCTTGATATAAAGCTCTTTCTTATACATATATGAATGTCTCTGGGTTTGTTTCTCTGGTCAACAGGGCCTAACACACCACCCTGGGGACCTGGCTTTGATGTGGAGCTTGACTGTCATATGGCTCAGGCCTCAGACCTTCATGGGCCCGGAGCCCAGGGGTGGGAGCAGTGAGATCCAGCCGAGGTCCAGCAGAGGGAAGGACTCCATCTGGGAGAGTGAGAAGCAGAGTGCGGAGAGGAAACAGGGAGCTGAACCGCCTATCCCCAGGGCGCATGTGTTCCACCTGACTCCCTGACAGGTCAAGTGCCCCAGGGTGACAAGAGGGTTGCGGGGGTCCAGGGGACAGACTCCACAGAAAGACCTTGCCTGCTGGACAAGAAAGAGTGAGGTGGAGCCATGATATGAGCCTCTAGGCTGGGAATGTTTAGCCACATGCAAGGCCCTGGGGCCCCAGTGTCCAGGCCAACAGAGGGGACCTCAAGAGATGTGGTCACAGCAGGGACTCCAGAGGCCAGGACCGAGGAGTCCGAGCTGTCCCATCCTGAAGAGGACTCAGGCTGTGTGCCACAGGTCTGCACACCACCATGCACTCTCCTGACACCAGATGCCATCTTCATGCTTCAGGCAGTTGGCCTGCTCAAGGAAAGAGGCAGTGGTGGGAGGGAGGACGTGTTCCACAGAAGCACCCATGCGGGCAAGCAAAGGGCAGCATCTGGCTCAGCAAACAGCAGGCACGCTCACCCGCTGATGATCTCCTTGTTCTCCGCCCGGATAAAATGCTCCTTCTCGGGCGTCAGGATGCACAGAGAGAACTTCTGGCTGGTCCGGCCCTCCCCGTCTACCACATCTGTGCACTGGTTCATGTTGATGGTGCCTTGGGGAAGGGTGGTAGGCTGAAAAGAGAGGAGGAGGCAGAGCACTAAGTGGCAAACTTCACAGTTACAGAACGAGGTGGCATCCACTCACTACACTCACCCCCACAGGCCTGGAACTTCTCCCCACTGCCTGGCACCTGCCCATGCTAACTCTCCCTCTAGGTTCTTGGTCTTGTGTCTTCCCCGCTCCCTCCGGTCCCAGGGGAGAAGGAAGGACAAGGGCTTGGCTTCCTCCAGAGAACATTCAGTCATGCTTTATTTCCTTGTTGTCGGAACAGGGAGGAGACAGGAGGGACAGTTCCATGGAGACAGCTGGTGGAGGGCGGCAGCCAAGAGCCTGCTCTCACAAGACAGCAGTAAGACAAGGCTCCAGAGAGGTGGGTTTCTAAAATAGCCAGGCTATTTTTAGAAGTGGGGGAGAGTGGGGTGCGGCACAGAGAAGCTGCAGCCGTGGGAGCAGGAGGCAGGGCTGGCGGGCTGGGTGGGAGAGGCACGGCATCCGTGAATTCTCTCAAGGTAGGCCAAGGAGCCTGCCGAGGGGCACACGGCACCTTTCTGTCTGGGGGCTATAATGCCAAAATAACTTTTTATCCAATCCCCAAACCCCTGAAGACATTGAACCGAGGAACTGAACACCACACAGGAAGAGAAGCCATTAAGGATGCTGTGTTCAGCATCCTGGCTTGGTGCTTTCCCTTCCACACCAGAGGAGGTCCTTTGGAAGGAGGCGCCATAGCATGAGGAGTGAGGTGTGCAGAGCAAACCAGTTACCACAGTGACTCTGGGCCGGGAATTCCTCCCTCCTTAATGCCTTCACCACTGGTGGCCTCATGACGTGGGCAGATTGCCAAGGTGTGGAAAGGTGTCTCCACACCCACACAGGGGCAGATTTCAGTGCCCAGACCCCCTCTGCTTCCAGTTTCTCCACTGAGGAGCACAGAGCAGAATGGCTGCTGATCAGCACACTGCAGTCGGAAGGCCCCCTCCCTTCCCCAACAATGAGCTCCTGGCTTGCGACACTGGGAAGCAGCCATCCTGCTAACAGAACGTGCGTGGCGCCTGGCATTGACTCGGCACTCCCACCATCACCTTTGTCCCTGGAGGGGCAGCATGGCGGCAGTGTGCCACTGGAGAAAGAAGTCCACTTCTCAACTCTAAGAAGCCTGACCTTGTGGGGTTCGGGTTTGGCCCGCCTTGCCCAGCCAGCCCATAATGTGTGCAGGCTCTGCTGGCAGGGCTTACACAGTCTTACAGAGTCTGCATCTGCCCTTTCATGGCACCCCCGGTGATGTGTTCAAGTTGTATCCTGCTTTAGAATGAACCCCGGTGGGGACATGAGCCATATCCAGAAGCCGTGTTCCCCATGGCCCAGATATCTGTGTGGAGTCCTTTACTGGTATTCTTGGAAGGGTGGGGGGTGGGGGTGTGTGTGTGGCCAGAAAAAAGAGTTGGGTGGGGCAGAATGGAGCTGAGCCATGGGCAGGAATGTGACCTTACATCAGTGCTTTCCTTAGGCCAAGAGGGTTAGACAAAAGTCCCTCCCTGCCCTGTGCCTGGAGAAGACCACAAGGGCCCAGTCTCTTACACAGATCAGAGCTATTCCCATACCTTCCAACCAGGGCTGGGGTCTGAGGAGGGGTGTCCAACATTACCATCTTTGTGTTCGGCTCCAGTCACCTGATTCTATAGATATTTCAATTTCTCCTGGCCCTATTCCTCAACACCATGTGAATGCCCTATCACATGGCCCTCTCAGAGTGCAGAAGCCCACATGCAGATGTGAGTATCTCCCAGCTGGCCCTGGACAAGGCACTTTGACACTCTGGGCCTTGAGACTCTGCTATGTGAGGAAACTGATCCCAGTGGATCTGTTAACAGAGAACCAGAATGGCAGGAAAGCGGAGGGTTAGGGGTTTCAAAGGCAACCAGAGATTCCTACACTGATCTGTAGGCCTGGGGTCTTGCCATGCTGACAACACATGCCCATCAGTGAACTATACATGCACAGTAACTTCTGTACATGGTACCAGTATATCAGCATATTATGAAAACAGAACACACACACATACCTCTCTCTCAAAACACACACACACACACACACACACACACACACACACACACGGATTCCGGTGGCTTTTCTTCCATGGAGGCCCACACCCTGCTCTGAAGACCACAGATTCTGGTTCGAGTCACTGCAACAAACTGCAAATTGCCCCTCCAGGCCTGTTCTCCCTTTGTCCCACGGGGCAGTTGTATGTGTGTACATGACCACTGGCCAGCTGTGTAGCTAGATGTGGCCATGTGGCAGAGTATCCCTGATGGAGTGAGCAGAGATGCATGAAGAACTTTACCACAGAACCCAGACACAACTTCTCTGGTCTCAGAATCTTTATTTGTGAAGTGAGCGTGCTACCTCCTTCTCAAAGGATTTAGAAGTATTAGAAAAAGACAGACCTGGCCAACTAGATAAGGACTGAAGAAAGTTGAAGTTTACTTGCTTACCTGCATGCCAGGATCTCTTTGAGGTTCTAACGCAATGACAAGCTCCTCTACACCCCTTTACATGGCTCGCCATGAGCTGGTACTAACCAATTCTATTACATATGCAGAAGGTGGAGCAAGCAGGTCAAGAGCACTCATAAAAGAAGCAAATACTGGGTTTGGAACCCGAACCCACACCTGCGACTCAAAAGCCTAATTTCCAGCGTCTCAGGAAGGAGGTGCCCAGAAGGTGGGAAGAGGCTTGCGGCTCTAACATCAGGTACTTCCACTCTGTTATACCTGGGATGGTTTCTTTTTAGTAACAACTTCATAAAGACAGAATTCACAAGCCAGTTGATTCTCTCTACTTAAAGGACCCAATTCACCATCCCAGTTCAACCCAACCAACAATAGAGTCAATTTTGAATCGTTTACCACCCCTTGCTCAGCCCCCCTCTCCCCAGCCAAAAAAAAAAAAAGCCAGAAAGAAGCCCTGTGCTCATTATCAGTCACTTGCTTTTCTCCCACTAACCAACCTCACCAGCCCTGGAAACTGCTAATCCACTTTCCTGTCACTGTACCTAGTCACAGAAAAGGAATCATATGAAGCCCAAGCGGAGTAGGGGCCATAGGCTGGGCTGTTAACTGCAAGGCCAGCAGCTTGAAACCATGCTACTGTGGAGAGTTAGAGTCCCAGAAACCCACAGGAGCAGTTCCACCTGTCTTACAGGGCTGCTACGCGTGGGAATCGACTTGAGGGCCGTGAGTTTAATGTGGTTTCCTTTCACTCAGCATACTGTTTTCAAGGCTCATCTAGGTGGTAGGTATGTACCGGTGCTTCATTCTTTTCTATGGCTGAGTTATATGCCACGACCTCACCAGCTGCTCTTGAAGATGAGTTTTCTGCTCCTGTGAAGATTCACAACCTTGGAAACCCAAAGGGGTCATTCTGCTCTGTCCGACAGGGTCGCTATTGAGTCAGAATTGATTTGAAGGCAAATGAATATACTACGTTTTGTTTGATTTCAACTCACAGTGACCCTTGTAGGACAGAGTACAACTGCCCCTGTGGGTCCAAGGTTTTCTTTATAAGAGCAGAAAGCCTCACCTTTCCCCCGTGGAGCAGGTGGGGGGTTTCAAACTGCTGATCTTGTGGTTAGCAACCAACACGTAACCCACTCCACCACCAGGGCTGCTATTAAAAGTGAAACTGGTGGACCACATCAATTAAACCTGTTTCTAGGGTACTATCTGCTGTACCAGTTTACATTCCTCCCAGCTGTGTGTGAGGGTCCAGTATTACCTAAAAAAAAAAAAAAAAAGTACTTCCAACCAAGTACTCTTGTACTAATTCAGGCCCAGGTGTGCAACAACACTCCTTTATCAAGCAATACATAATGGTCCAAGTGCTTCACACGTGTCACCTCCCGTAAAACTCAGAGCAACCCTACAGAGCTGGTGCTAGTGCCACCCCCATTCAACAGAAGGGGAAGCAGACCAGAGAGACGTGAAGTAACATACCCAATAGCTAGTACACAGTAGCTAGTACATAGCTAGTACACAGCAGAAGCAGGATTCAAACCCCTGTGCTTGGCTCTGGAGCTAGCTCCTCATTACTCTGCACTCTAGCGCCTCAGATTCACAAAGCTGGGGTAGATTCAACTACAGGTGTGCAGATGGCCAGGCTTGGGTTTAGGCTCATGCTTCAGATTCCAGTCAGGTCCCTCCCTGTTTCAGTTTAGAGGTCAGCTATGCCACCTGTATGCTTCCTAGCCAGATCCAAACCTTGAACTGCCAAGCAAGAGCAGATATCTAGGCTGTGACCTGAATCTAGCTGAAAAAACACCTGGCCTCCATGGCTCTCCGAAGTCGTGCTTCCCTGCCCCAGTTCTGCCCCTCCAGGGGCATAGAAGGAGGCCTCCCAAGAGGCCAGTTGAAACTAATTTTGTTCATCTAATTTCCCCAAACAGGATGATGTGACCAGGGCAACTGCTCTATGTTGCAATGCTAGGGACTCAGTCCTAGAGCCCCAGGGCCTCTGATCCTCTTCTGCCCTTGATGTCACCAACTAAGCTGGCAACCCTGCTTCCGGCTCAGATTGCCCGAGCCTTACTGGTGACCAGGCTGCAGGGCCAAGGCACCACACTCTGTTGAGACTCTGGCTTTTGATCTGCCTGACAGCCATCAAGGGCCACAGGGCACATCTGCCCACTGTCCCCAAGGCAGCTTCACTACCTAGCAATCTCTATCCCAACTCCAGGGCCCAACAGGTGCTTCTTAGGGAAAGCTGGCCACCTCCATCTCTCCCGGGGGAAGAAGGGTAGAATGTTGTACCTCACAATCCCCTGTGACTGTGACCTGTGGGGATCAGCACACATGCAGGTGAAATGGAAACTTTATGGAACCATGCTTACTCTAAGCACACACACCGCAGTTTTACTTTTATTGTTTAATATTCATCATGATCCACCCATAGATTATGAAAAGCACTATTGAAACCAGTACTGAGTGACAGCCACTCAGCAAGTGCTTGCCCA